AGCCCCATGAAGAGAGATGGAAAGAACTGGGCATGTTTAGCCTCGAGAAGATTTGATAACACTCTACAAGTACTTAAAAGAGGACGGACAGGATCTCTTCTAGATCATCCCAGGCTGCAGGACACGGCATAATGGGCTCAATGTAAAGAAAGCCAGATTTCAGCAAGATATCAGGAAAAAATTCCTGACTGATAGAGCAGTATGACAATGGAACCAATGGCCTAGATTAGTTGTGGGCTCTACCACATGAGAGGTATTGAAGATGCAACTGGACAGCTATCTGAGAGGGATGGTTTAACTTGGTGTCTGCACTCAGCAGGGGGTTGCACCTGATGGCCCTCTGGCCCCTTCCAACTCTACTATGATTCTATCAAGGACTCCCCATCCCTCCCTCTGTTACTAGGCAATCAGGAGACTTCCTTTTCAGTCATTTGTAAAGGGCCAGAAGTCTCTGTCTTCCTAAAATCAAATTAATGAATTGATTTACTAACTACATTGGCATGCCAATTAATGTTAATACATTAACATCTCTGGACAGTTCACTTAGCAAACTAAGGATAACTTTGAAAAGAGAATATTTTGCAAGAAAGAAATGGGGCTTGAATGTTCATGATTTGGAGTCAGGCTGGAGCAAACCTCATTAAGGCGTTAAGCAATGGGATGGCATATAAAAACTCCAAATAAATAAATAAATGAATGAATGAATGAATGAATGAATGAAGTTTTATTTTTGACTGCTAAGACAATACACCTCTCCTCTTTGCATTAAGGAGAAGATGTCCCTCAATCCCACATAAGCAACAAATATTTATACAAAAATATTTGCTGTGCTTTAGGAATACAGCAAACTGAGTCAGTTATCCTGAGTCAGTGCACTCAACCAGCCAGTGCCACGGAATTACAGGCCTTCCTAGCTTTGCCACGGCTGTCATGTATTACAGGCTTACTCCTTAGAATTGCCTTTTAAAGACTCCTGTAGTGGTCTCTGAGAAGCCCAAACTGCTGCTCTACTTGTCTTCACCTTTGTGCACTTGCAAGTACAGTAAAGGCAAACATTTCAGGCCAACTCTTTCATTAGCATGATCAGCCACAGAACTGCTGGTTTTTTTTTTTTTACTCCACCAGAGGCAGAAAAGAGCTGATGTGGTGGGCACATGGGGAGGGAGAAATAGCAGATGAGGCTTGCCTGATGGCCGAAAACAGCAGTTCCATCTCCCACGCTGACAGCACCAAACATTTCCTTTGAGCTCATTCAGCACTACAGGGAACACGCTTATAAAAGCAAGCAACCCCCTTTTCTCACTGTGGAAAATGCTGAGCCCCATCATTCCGGAGGCTTTAAAGTTTGATCAAAAGTGGGGGTGGCGCTGTGAAATGACAAAACAGAACAGAGAGGGAGCTGGGCAGGCTCCACACTTTGCTTTTCCAGGCTGCAGCATCTCACATATGCCCTGTTGGACGCTCTCTTTCTGCTTGGTTTCTACAAAAAGTGCCTTTGAAAACCGATCACTACTAATGAGGGGTGAACTTACCTCAGGTTCATTTGCTATTTCCTTAGATACTCGCAAACTCAGGCATGGAAGTTCAGACAAAAACTCTGTGTTCCAAATAAATCAGCTTTGGCATATGTGAAACATCAAAGTGCATCTTGGGAACTGTAGTTTGGATATACAGGATGCACAGTTCACTACATTATATGCCCCCTTCCTGATTGGTTGATTTCATGCAGCCTCACACAGAGACCACTCACCCACCACCAGCATTAAGTAAAGCACACATTAACTTACGGAAGAAAAGAAAACAATGAAATATGATTGGGGCACCACATAGCAAGCAGGAGAGGGTATTGCTGCATTTAGTTGTGGGGTAAAGTGACATCCAGTTTAATGTAAGCAAGGAATGGGTTGAGCCAACCAACTCAGTGCAGGCTGAGAAACAGCATTGCTAGGACATGGATTGTTCATGCTCAGTCAGATGTGGATGATAATTCCAGTTAATAGTGAATTTGTAAATTAGGGAATCCATCGATCCAGCCTCACTGAAAAGGCAAGCAGTATGAATGGGCAAAGTCTGATGAGTAATTATGAATTTTGGTAGCATTACTAATCATTGCAGTGTCATCCTGTTCATAAGTAGAAGTAAGTTCTCTTGAGTTCAATTGGGCTAATACCCAGGGTGAGTATAGGATACAACCTCAATATTTTATTTAAAGCCCTGTTTACAGCATCGAGTTACTTATTTCATTGCTCTGCTCTTGGAAACCTGTTAACAACCTTAAACCATTGGAACCTTAAAATGTCTTGTTTGTTTCTGTAGCTGGGCAGAGTTTTTTTTAACTGATACGGAACCACCTCCTTCTCCTTTTCTTTCTTTGAAGTGTCACTACTATACTGAACAAAAATAACTAAATTGTTCACTTGCCACATTAATTTATTTCTATTTTTCAAGATATGCATAAACTACCCTTCATCAAAATGCATCAGAGTAGTAAATTAAATAATTATAATGAAAATGGTCACACAGCCATAAAATACACCAAAAGCAGTAAGAATTAAATAGCAGTACAAGACACAGCTGAAAAAAGTAAGATAGACTGACCAGCTTAAAATGCCCAGTAAACTAGAAAGTGTTGTCCTGGTGCCGAAATTATTGCAAATTTGACCTCAGTTGTGCCTTTGAGAAGTAGGGGCTGCAGCAGAGGATTTTTCTCGCTGGGCTCTGCCAAACACGGTATGTATGTATGTATGTATGTATGTATGTATGTATGTATTTAAAATGTTTATACCCCGTCCTACACATAAAAGTCTCAGGGCAGCAATTCAAAGAGGCTTCATTTGCTTTCCTGCCTCCCTTGCCCCCACCTGACTCTGCTCTCGGACTTGCAAATCCCCCCCCCCCACCCCAGCCCTCTGAAAAAATAAAGCTCATGGCTCCTAATTGTCATCTTTGTGCTCTTACTTTGGAGTGGTTGTGCATTTCAGCAAATCACATGATCTTCAATGGCCGTACCAAATCCCATTGACTCCAATGAGGCTTATAGTCTGTGCGGGGGGGCGGGGGCTGAACTGGCAAGCTTTTATCTGGAAGGACTTGGGGAGCTGCTGGCCTCACTGGCTTCAGCCTGTGGGGAGTTGTGAGGACAGGCACAAGGGAGGCAGCCTTTCGTTTTCTCCATGACTGGGGGCAGGGAAGAGGAGCTGTGTTTTCCCCCATTTTTACTCCTTGGCACCGCACACAGGTAATTGAGCTAAGAGCAAACAGAAAAGCAAGGTAACCTCCAAGGGCCACTTCAGTGCATGCTTCTCTTTTCCAACTCCCCCTGACATGCCCTCAAATAATGGCCAATATTGTCAGGTGGGCAACACCCGCTAATAGCACTGAGGGGAATATAGGTGATGTCGGGAAATGACACACAAGTCTCGAAAGCAGGATGTGGCTGTAGCAGCACCAGGATGAGACTGTAACAGAGTGAGGTCCGTGGTGGATTCAGCCTTGGATCTGGAGGGCTTCTGGAGGAGGAGGACAGGGCAATTTTCACTGATTCCTCTTCCCCGCTGCAGCTCCCCTGCTGCTCCAGGGAGTTTCATGTGGGCCAGTGCTGGAAGCTGCAAGAAAGATGGAAACCTGCTGGTTTGTCCTCTTCCTCGAGCAGGAAGCCTTCCCTGGATGCTGCTTCTTTTTGCTTGCCACTGAGCCTCGAGGTCCAACCAACAAGCTCATAGGCAATCTGAGAGCATAACTTCCCTGGGTTGTGTTAGGCACCCATCCAGGTAAGTGATACTCATATATTAATGTCTAGCCCTCTCTTGTTCAAATTTCCCTCCAGGGCTGAAGGGTGCGTCTTCTTGCTATCTCTGTAGCTTAGAACAGCATATGTAACATTCTCCAAGGAGCTAAGAATCAGGGAATGGTTACGTTCACCATATTTCTAGGAGATGTTGCCCTTTGTGTTCTTGGCTTAACAAAATCCTCCAATTCCAACACTCTGTGGTGCAAAGCACTGTTAATTTTGTCACTATCTTGCTGTGATGAAGAGTCACTAAGCAAAAGAAGTGCTGCGGTTTCACTGGGATGCCCATTCACTGAATAGCTGGTGCTGGAACTAAAGATCTTAACACCAAGGACTTAACATCATCTTAACACCAGCGAGTGGCTAAAAACTGCAGCACCCTTTTCCTTTTGCATTTCTTATATTAAAAAAGGGAAACATATGAATAAATGTGATGCCTATACTAGAATAATATTAATGGAATACTGACAGGTAAGCTTTTATTATGACTTAATTAAAATTAGCATCTTATTTCTGTAGCATTTTTTGTGCAGAAAGTTCAACTCCTTAGTGGACTTGCTCACTTCTCTTGAGGGAACTGAAACCAAGACGGTGATGTGCCTGGTTAGGGTTCTTGGCCTCCATTTGGGTCATGAAATCATGGCTACCCCTTTCCCTGACAAAATAGTATGGGAAGGGAGGGGGGATTTCGGCTTTCCTCCTGAAATTTGTCTCCTGCTTTTCTAGCTAGGGTTCTAGACCTATACTGATGATGGAAAATGTGGCAGGGAGCTCTGCTGAGGTAAAAGTAGCTGGTGGATGGGAGCAAATGGGTAAAGCACCTTTCCTCCTGTCAGCCATTTTGCACCAGCATATCCCCCATTCCCAATGCCACTCTGCAGAGGAACTGAGGCCTGAGTTTCAATTCATGAGGTAGATGCAGAAGGCAGAACTCCGGCTTGAGTTCATGAATGGGGATGGATTAGAACTCATGCCCAAGGCTCCCATTCTTTACATTTGGCCATACATACAGTGTTGGTAAACCTGCTTCAGTTCAATAGAGCAAAGAGATTTCTGGGTAAGGAAATCAATTGGAATTAAGATACTTGAATTCTGCTAAATCCATTGAAGTTAAATCAATTTAGATCAGGGATGGGGAATATGTGGCCTTCCAGAAGCTGCTGGATTTCATCTTCCATAATCCCTCACCACAGACTGCTGGCTAGGGCTGATGGGAGGTGTAGTCCAGCAGCATATGGAGAGCTACACATTCTCCACCCCTACTTTAAACGAATCCAAGCATTGTTGTTTAATGGAAGGTGGGTGGGTTGCAACCTTGTTCCCTGATCTTACACTTATCTTCTTGAAGATCATTCCTTTGAAATCAGTGGACCTTACTTCTAAGTAAGTTCTGGGGACTCCAGTGATGGGACTTCAACTGGGGCTGGGGCATGTTGGGGATTCTAGGCCCCTTCTCTGCCTCAGCATGTGTAAGACCGTGCCTTGAAACAGTTTTGGATGCTAACTTGCACAATGGCCAAGTTTAGTGCAATAGCTTACTACATATTGGTATTTAAGGCTGCAAGTCTATAAACATTTATCTGCTAGTAAGTCCCATTAAAATGGGTGAGGATTATTTCTGAGAAGACACAAATGGGATTGCACCCTAAATACACATTCATTTTACAGTGAGATGTTACAATCTGAAGAATTTCCTAGCAAAGATTTATAGAACAATACAAACAAATTGATCAGAATTGTACAGCAGAAAACTATGTGATTATTTATCTGCCATCTTGACATAAGGCTCCAGATGATAACCAGCATGATTATGATCAGAATCATCAGTGACTCATGCCTGGAAAAACAATACAGTCCTCCTCAGGTGTCAGATAAAGAGCTGGTTTCCAAGCAAATTGTACATTTCACATGGATGAGGGAATTCTTGTCTAATGTTTTTCCAAGCTGTTTCCAACATCTTTCTCACAAATAAGAAAACTTCAATACACCCAAGGTATGTCACATTGTAGAGAAAAATATGCTGCCCCAGTAGCTGGTGAAAATTGTAACTTAGGTTCCTCTTTCCAGAAGGCACTGCTATTTAATATAAATATATTTTTTTCCCTCAGCTAACATGTAGACAGCCGAGGATGTGCAAAGAGGCACTTCCAATTCTTTCTTTTCTTTCCCTTTGTTAGTCAAAAACTCTTTCATAGAGTCATGGCACTTATAGACCTCCGGTGACTTTTTCCAATAGAACTCCCAGTATTGTTGGACAGGAGGCCAGACAAGGGCTTTGTAGCTGCACCTTGCCCAGGAGAGGTTGCCACTGATAAGATCCTGGAAGCAGCTGCTTCCTGGGCCCATCTTTTCACGTAGCCATCACCTTCTTCGTTCAATATCCATTCTTTCTCCTGTTCTGGATGGCTGAGCCCCTGATGTACATTGTTCTCAGAAATTACAAGTTCTGCTGATGCATAATTAGTCAGTGTCACATCCGTATTTCCAATAGTTTGGTTGGGCTCCACACCATGGGCTACTGTGCCTTGTTCTCTCAGTTTCCGTTTCTGTATTTCCCAGTTGCACTGATTTCTGGGGAGCTTATCGAGGTGTTGTGCTTTCACAATGGGAGATGCAATGAGGGTTCCTTGCAGGGCCAAGAAAAGATACCTTGGGAAAACACAACAACATTAACACTTAATGAGTGATTTCGAAACAAAGAGTCTTCATACTTTGTGTCAGTTACGCTGAAGGTGCCTGATGAAGAGTAATATTTTCAATTGCTTTCAGTCAATGATCTATACACACAACTCACTTATTAGAGATCATTTTGCCTGTATTCAGCATTTATAGACAAGACGGTATTAGAGTTTGCAGCATAAACATTCCAGGGAAGTCATTTGTTTTCCCTGTGTGTCTGTAAATGCATATGTAGAACAAAGAAGCTCATAGTTCCTAGTTAGACTAGGAATGGGGTATCCATGGATTTCCAGATGCTGATGGACTATGCTACCAGACAGCTTACAGACCTTGACCATTGCCCAGGCTGGCTAGGGCAGATGGAAGTTGGACTCTAGCAACATCTGGGGGGCCATGGCTTCCCTGCTCCTGAGCTAGGTGATGGTCACAAAGGATGAAGAAGCTGAGGATTGGAATGGTCTCTCTGAGTATCGGGTAGCTGCTAGTGTGGCATCATGGCTAGAAGTTGGCTTAGGACCAAGAAGAGCCACCTTCAAATCTCTGCTTAGCCACCGTTGTTCAGCTTAATCTATCTCAAAGGGCTATTGTGAGGATAACAATGGGAGGAGAGACCAGGTACATCGCCTTGAGCTCCTTGGAAGGAAGGCAGGCTATACAGTGCTATGCACCTCCTTTGGTTCTTCTACATTGGGTTGTGTTACAACCTGCAGTTGAAATGGATTTAATTGGTGTGGTTACCACTTGATGTGCACAAGATACTCAACACTGTGAAGCTGCTAGGTACTTTTATTGTAGCATGAAAATTAAGAACACAAAAAGAAACTGGCACTTGTTGGTTGTGAAAGTATACACCCCCTTTGCTGTGACATGCCGAAATGTGTTCTGGTGCAATCCACTTCCAGCTTCAATGCACTTGTTGCTGGAAGGTCCCAGAATGTGTTGGAGGGCGTATCTGAACAGACAACTTCCTGAAGATCAAGGAGCTATCAGAACAACCCTGTGATAAAGTTGTTCAGAAGCACCAATCGGGGTCGGGTTATAAGAAAAATCCCAAACTATGAACATTCCCCAGAGCACAGTTTGAATCCATTATTACAAACTAGAAAGAACATGGCTCAGCTGTGAGACAGCCTAGAGAAGACCATCGACCAAAGCTCAATGACTAGGTGTGAGGAGCAACCAGGGGGCCAATGGTAACTCCGAAGAAGCTGGAGGGACACACAACTGAGATGGAAGAAACCATCGAGGGGAGCTCTATCATCTGGATGCACCACAAAGCGGGGCTTTATGGAAGAGTGGCAAGAAGAAAGTCATTGCTGGAACAAAGTCATATCCCAGCCCAGTTTGGAGCTTGCAATAAGGCACGTGGGAGACTTAGCAAACAAGAAAAAACGTTTTCTGTTCTTGTGAGACCAAAATTGAACTTTTGGGCTTTGCTGGAAAAAACCGTGTGTTGTGCAAAGTCAACAGTACTCATTGGCCTTAGAACTCCCTCCTCATGGTGAAGCATGGTGGAGGGAGCCTCATGTTCTGGGGCTGCTTTTCCACAGCAGGGACCAAAAAACTGGTCAGGATTCAGGGCAATTCTAGATGAAAACCTCTTTTGGTCTGCCAAAGACCTGAGATAGGGATTGAGATTCATTTTCTAGCTGGGCAGTGACCTTAAACACACACCCTAAGTCACACTGGAGTGGCTTAAAAACAAGAACCCAAATGTCTTAGAATGGCCCAGTCAAAGCCCAGACCTTAATCCAATTGAGAATCCATGAAAAGACTTGAAAATAGATGGGGACAGTTGAAAACAGCAAACTGCTGAACCAGTTTTGCCAGGAAGAATGGGCAAACACTGTAGCACCCAGATGTATGAAGCATCCAGAGGCGTAACCAAGAAGGCTATAGTTGTAATTGCTACCAAAGGTGCTTCGGCCAAAAACTGACTCGAGGAGACGAATGCTTATGCAACCAACAAATGCCAGTTCTGTTTTAGTCATTTATTTCATTTTTATACCACTCAATAGCTGAGGCTTTCAGGGCAGTTAACAAAAGCTAAAAACACAGAAACAAGTTTTGTTCACTTAATCTTTGTGCAACTGTCACAGAAGAATTAAGATCCTGGAGGAGAGGGTGAGAATCGAACCAGAGGGCCCTGATCAAAGGGGAGTTCTAAGCACTCAGAAACTCCAGCAAGTAAGGGATAATGCACATCTTATTGTTATCAAGACCAAAGGCCCAAGGATGCTGGAGGTGGCAGGGCTAAATGATTTATTGCAGGCAGCTGGGGGTCGGGAGATCAGCCACCTTGTGCTAGTCAGCTGACGGAGTGGGTGGAATGAAGGGCTGAGGGTGAGAGCAAGAGGAGGTCTTTCTTCCTCCTGGTGATGCTGCCTGCCTGTAGTGATGAAGAGACCAGTTGCTTTCCTGCCAGAGGTTGCTATGGACCTGAAGGCAGCACACACAAATCCAGTAGTCCAGTGCTCGCTTTCTTATTTTCTTGCCCTACTGGTACAACAAGACATAAGGGTCTTGGAGGAAGTGGGGTCAGCTTTAAGTCTTGTGTTTTTGGTTGCTGCTCTCCACCATCCCTCATCCTTCCCCTTTTAACCTATTTTATCCTACCTCTTTAATTCCTCCCTCCACACCTACACTTTACTACCTCAGTCGATGGATTTTTATCCCCTAAACTGTGCTTGAGTGAATTGTGTGTTAAGTCCAGTGCCTGGTTTCATGGGGAAGTGGGGTATTTGCCTCGGTGGATCGTTATAGCAACCATAAAGAAATCGTGCACCTTCACAGTGTTGAGTGTCTTGTCTACATACTTGTGATTAATCCCTTTCAAATGAAGGCTGTAGCACAACAAAATATGTCCATGTCAAAGGTAGGTGAATACTTCTGCAAGGCACTATAAATAGAATAATGCACGAGCTATGAAAATCATAGGAGTCCAGGTGGTATGTGGACTTAATTGTTAGAGATACTGCAGTCCTCTCATGGAAGAAGAGGTTTGCAAGCCACAAAAAGGAGCAGAGATGTTGAGGGCCATCCAGTTACTGCCAGCTAGAAATGAAGACAACTGAGACAGCTAATCAGAAAGGGGCAGTGACGGGCTTTCCTTAAATTAAAAAGCTTTGGCCACTCACGTTGGAAATCATCCTGTGGAAATGAGAGTTTTATGAACTAGCTTTCAGCACAGATTGACCAGGGCCCTGGGTAGAGATAAATCCCTTTCAAAATGTAACATCATTTGCTTGCACATACATGGCCGGCAGATTGGCGTAAAAATAAATTCAAAAGATGGTTGCCAGATTCAGTGCCAGTTTGCCTCTTTAGGGTTTAAACTCTCTCTGGGAATGAATTCAGCTCTCTCTGCTTTCCCAGCTTCTAGCTCAATGCAATCCCTTCTAGGTTTGCTTGACAGTCCATGAAGTAAGAAGAACTGGAAACAGAAAGTTCCAGAGCAAAGTGGGACACAACCCATTTCACTCCTCAGAGAGCAAGAGCAGCTCCATCCTGCCAATCTTAAAAACTGGAATTCAGTTCTGATCTTTCCCTGTCTCTCCACGAATTCTGAGCAGAAGTGGGGAGTCCATTATACCTGATCTTCTTCAGCCTGCTTTCCCCTTGGGAATTGATTGCACAGTTCTGATCTTTCACAATGCCTAGGGTTTGGTTGTTTGTGCACAGAAAGTCCAATAAAAGGAGGGGCTCCCTTGTGAGCGATCACTTTCTAGTTCTTCCTTAAGAGCATGGGTCCTCAAACTACGGCCCGTGGGCTGGATCTGGCCCTCTATAGCTCACCACGTGTGCATGAGCGCACGGCGAGGTGTCGGCTTGCTCACAAGGAGATCATTTTGGATTCGTCAGGAGAAAATGATCTCTGCACATGCATGCCCCTGCCTTTCTGCGTGTGTGCGCAGGCGCGTGCACCCACCCCGCCGGCCTGGCCCATGCCCATCCCTGGCACCTTTCAACTGGCCCCCTGTTCAAAAAGTTTGAGGACCCCTGCTTAAGAGCATATGGGTATGTCTTCCTTTTCATGCTGCAATGCATCCTCAATTCTACTATGGGAAAATGACAGTGCAGACAGATGGATACCGCTGAAGGCCCTGGTAGGATCTTTCTCTCCACTGCCATTCATTAACGGCATCAAAAATGCACTGTGGTATATTGTTACTATGGGTTATTTTTATGTGAATGAGCCTTGGATTCATGTGCTCCCTCCTCCCAAGGTGTGCAGAGGAGGTTCTTATCTCTGGCTCTAATTAACAGTTTAGTACTACTTTGTAAACATTGATTAATCTTAAGTATGGTTTATTGAAACAAGTCAACTTCATAAACCAATTATTACAGCCGGTTTGTTTCTGCAAGCCACAATTATTATTTATTATAGCCGCCCCGAGGCTTTGTTGCGATGGGGGCGGCATAGAAATGTCTTAAATAGATAAATAAATAAATTATTGCATTACATTTATACACTGTCTTTCTTCTTCCTGCGAAGAAGCCCACAAAGTTCTCCTCTCCATTTTATCCTCACAACAACCTTGTGATGAAGGTTAGGCTCAGAGTAAGTGACTGGCGCATCCAGTGAGCTTTATGGCCGACAGGGGATTAGAACCTGGATTCCCAGGGCCCCAGTCCAATACTCTAACCACTGTGCCCAGCAGTGGTGTTGCTTGCTCTGGTTCAGACATAACAATAAATCGTAAACCAAATTGTGCCAGAGAAGGAAAGGCGAGGAGCAGCACGTGAGCTTAATGCTTGCCCATATAACAGTAAGTCACAGTTGATCATTACACCTCAAGGCAGCAACGTACTCCGAGTTCCATCTTTGCGTACTCATAGCTTGGATGATAAACTGTGAGAGATGTTGCAGAGCTCACAATGCTTACCTATTTCTGCTGTTTAGCCTTCATATGCAGAAACACCTGCGGCACTCCGGCCTGAATGATGATCTTACAGCAGAGGAATGGAATTACCGTTTTACAGAATGCAGAACCCATAGGAACAGAATGCTATAGAAACAAGCTTAAGTGGTCTCATCATGAATCTGCCCTCAAATCAATGGGTGTTTATAGAAAGTGAGTAAAGAAGAGAGGAGAAGAATGGCAGGAATGGGACCTGATGCTTCCGAAGGGAAGGAGCGGGAGATCCTGCTTCTCGACTCTAGAGAGGGTGTGTTACGGGGAGAGGCATGCACTGTGCTCTCGCACGACTTCTAAAGCCTGTTTGACAGCTGGGAATTGTTTCTGAGTGCTGAAGCTAGCTACCTCCCAATTCCAGCACGGAAGAGAAAAGCACAGAAAGCAGTTTTCCTTTTGAAATGCTCAAGGGTTGCTCACAAAGAACTGTACTGCACAGCACAACAACAAAGCTTTCATGTCCCAGCAAAGGCATGTAGGACTCAGTTCCCCCAAACTACAGAAGAAAAAGCAGTGACCACATGAAAGGATGAAGGCTGTCAAGGATTTTACATTTCCCTTCTGGAAACAGCACAAAATCACAAGGAATTAGACCTTGAGTGGCAGATTGAGAGAAGACAAGGAACAGCACACCAAGGGCAAGTCAGTCTGGAGCTTCCTCTGGGAATCTGGTGGACCAGGCACCATATCCAGGCCTCACTGTACACATGTGCCTAGTTGTTCAGTTTGCACTAATTCTGTTTTTGCAGCAGGGCAGTTGGGGCAAATGCAGGGGAAGCTCCATAAAGGCAGCTGACGCCTTACTTTGGAAAATATCCTTCTGAACTCCTTTTTGAAGACAGCTTGTTCAAGAACGACCCAGCAGCAGATCCTATTCCTGGCATTTCCACGGCAGCCAACTCACCTTGGCAGGGGAATATCAAGCCAGAGTAGTCCACCAAAGGGCTTTTGTCACTGTTCTGGATGGAGCAGACAAACCTTGTGGCTAATGGACCACTGGAGGGGTGGGCCACATGTGTCCTTCAGAAGCATTGGCCAGCACTGGCTGCTCTTGCTGTGGGTCGCCAACGGTGAGTGACGATTGGGAACTGTAGGCCAAAACATCTGGGGGGCCACAAGTAAACTATCCCTGGACGGTTGGAAGCACAAGGTGACCTTAAAATAGTGCTAACAAGCTGTAACATCTGTTCAGGTATCCTCAACTTAGGATCCAGTCATCGATGGACAGAGCCCCATATCAGCCACGGCTGTCAAAGATGCTTGGCCACAGTAAGATTTAAAGTGAAGCTCATCCTTTCTTTTGTCAAGTTTCCCAGCCTTCCGCACCACAATTAATTTAGGCTTTCCAACATATACATACTGATCAGAACCCCACAGGAAAGAGGAAGGAGAGGAAGTACAAATGCCCTGCTCTTCATGCTTGCTTTGCAGCTAAACAATTTGCAAAAGAGCCTACCCAGTCGAGATCAAGAGGAAGCACCTCCAAGACTGCAACAACAGGCAGGAATGGGCTTCATCAGATATGTGAAATGGACTGTGATCCTCACATGGGCTGAGGGAAGCTGAAGGATAAACTATGTGGAAAACCCAAGGCCGTGGGTACACCTATATTCGCATGCAGCAGGGATGACCGAACACACTTGAGAGCCCATTATCGGGCCTGTGCTGTGGCGGTGAGGGCAGTGAAAAAGAATTTCTTTTCCGTTTCCATTGCCTCCTCAAAATGCCATCCGGCGGAGCTTTTTCGAGTGGTGCAAGAGCTGGTTCATCCAGGTCCTAAGAAAGATCTGGTTCCACCCTCGAAAGCTCGCTGTGACGACTTTGCCAAGCATTTCAGGGAGAAAATCGCTCAGATTTGTCACGAGCTAGACTCTACTAGTGACTCAGAGGTTTCTGGGGAGACACCAATGCTGCCGTCTGGTCCAAAATTAATGGATGAATTTCAGTTATTGCAGCCTGATGATGTGGACAAGGTGCTTGGACGAGTATGTCCCACCACTTGCCTATTGGACCCTTGCCCGTCTTGGTTAATAAATAATCCCAAGCACGGGATTGGGATCTGGATCTTGGAAGTGGTTAACGCCTCTCTGAAAGAGGGTCGGGTACCTGCCCCTTTAAAGGAGGCAATAGTCCGACTGGTCCTGAAGAAAGCGTCACTAGATCCAGAGATGGCCACTAATTATAGACCAGTGGCCAACATCCCGTTTCTGGGCAAGGTGTTGGAGCGGGTGGTGGCGGGACAACTCCAAGCTCTCTTGGATGAAACTGATTATCTAGACCGATTTCAGTCCGGCTTCAGACCCGGGTACGGTACTGAATCTGCCTTGGTCGCCCTGTACGATGACCTGTGCAGGGAGAAGGACAGGGGGAGTGCATCCCTGTTGGTTCTTCTGGACCTCTCAGAGGCTTTCGATACCATCGACCATGGTATCCTTCTGGATAGGCTAGCGGGATTGGGGGTCAGAGGCACTGCTTTGCAGTGGTTCCACTCCTATCTCAATGACCGATTCCAGTAGGTGGTGCTGGGGGACTATGGCTCTGCGCCATGGCAGCTATGCCATGGAGTACCGCAGGGGTCCATTTTGTCCCCTTTGCTGTTTAACATCTACATGAAACCGCTGGGAGAGGTCATCAGGAGGTGTGGGCTGCGGAATCATCAGTACGCTGATGATACCCAGCTCTACCTCTCATTTTCCACCAATCCAGGTGAGGCAGTGGCTGTGCTGAACCGGTGCCTGGCCGAGGTAATGGGCTGGATGAGGGCCAATAAACTGAAGCTCAATCCAGACAAGACGGAGGTCCTGTTGATTGGCGGATCGAGCTTCGGAGAGGGTGAATTGAACCTAGTCCTGAATGGGGTTGCACTCCCTCTTAGGGACAAGGTCTACAGCTTGAGAGTGCTCCTCGACCCAGAGCTTTCATTGGAAGCTCAGGTGACAGCAGTGGTGAGGAGCGCTTTCCTTCAGCTTCGGCTGATCCATCAGCTGCGCCCCTACCTGGAGTACGACTGCCTGGCGACAGTGACACACGCGTTGGTGACTTCCCGTCTTGACTTCTGTAACGCGCTCTACATGGGGCTACCCTTGAAGACAGTCCGGATACTTCAATTGGTTCAAAACAGAGCTGTCAGGCTGCTGACGGGGACCGGGCGTTATGTTCACATGACTCCAGTCCTCCGTCAGCTTCACTGGCTTCCCATTGAAGTCCAGGCCGAATTCAAGGTGTTGGTGATGACCTATAAAGCCCTAAACGGCTTGGGTCCCGGCTACCTGAAGGAGCGCTTACGTCCATATATGCCCGCCTGCCCCCTGAGATCTGCGGGAGAGGCCCTTCTCCGGGAACCCTCTGTGAAGGAAATTAGGAGGGTAGGTACTCGGAGGAGGGCTTTCTCTGCGGTGGCGCCCAATCTATGGAATGCACTCCCCAGAGAGGTTATTTGTTTTTCGGCACCAGGTGAAGACCTTTTTATTCAAACGTCATTTTAATTGCTAACATTATTTCCTTATTTTATTCTTTGGCCAGGGCAACTTATTTTATATTGTTAATTCGTTTTATATTTTTAATGTATTATATTGTAATTAATGTTTTGTGAGCTGCCCCAAGGCTTCAGCGAATGGGGCGGCATAGAAATTTTCTAAATCAATCAATCAATCAATCAATCAGTGACTGGAGGCAACCGAGACAAAACTGGACCTCCAAGTCCAGTTTCATGGCTCTCCAGTTGCACACCCAGGGACAAACAAAGGCTGTGGAGGGAAGACACCACAGATATAAGGTGCGACAGCATGGAGGAAGGCATCAACTAGAGATCGTGATTCACCACTTCTGAGGCCCAATCTAAATGAAGCTCTGGGTGCATTAAAACATTTTACCATGTTGGTGGAGCTGCTATCATGTCACATGTTGTTGGCATGTCAGAGATCTGTGGCTTGGGCAGGCATCCCCCTGCTAGACTCACGCTGCACACACGTGGGACACCTGCCCCGTGGGAGACCACATGGATCCTCCTTTCAGATGCTGCCAGACTCCATTTCAAAGCTATCTCAGCCATCCACCAGAAATGTAATTGCTGACGAGGATCTGACACCCAAACAGTTAGGAAGAGAGATGCTCAAACCTTGGGAGAAGTGCTGTGACTGGAGTAATGATGGATATGAGATAAAACGTTGGCGTGGAGAATTCCCTCTGCGTAATCCAATAGGGATTGGAAGGAGGGTTGCAAACAACACAGGCAGCACTGTAGATTGCCAAGAAAATGAAGTAGAGTAGGATGCTCATAATCATTACGATTCCATGGAACACAGTCTGTGAAGAGAATGGGAAAAAGAGCCATAATGCAAAGTGCCTTGTAGCTATGATTCTTCTACAGGAATAGGATGGAAGGAAATGTTGATGCAAACAAGATGCCATAGCAACAACTTTGCACAGAGGAAATGCAGGTTTTATGTAGTCAAGGACATTTGTGAGTAAGAACAACAAGTCGGAGTCTCCAACAAGGAAAGCCACATTCTAGGAAATGTTAGCATCATGAGTACACATGATATGGCTCTAGGCATTTTTGGGATCTGATAGTGTCTCTGAGTAAAGGATTGTGTAGGGACATGGCAAGCCCTTCTCTGTTGTATTTTAGGAGCTGCACATGTTATTGCTTATAGAAGGTTTATTTTTCCTTCTATAGTTCGGTGTTATTTATCGACAGGATGCAATCCAGTCAAGCATAGTGTTATCATCAGCCTGGTTCAAAGCCTTCAAGAGCCCAGCAAGCCTCAACAGTTTGCTGTTCTCTCAGTGGTCTTCAGCAACTTCAGCAGGGACGAGCAGTGGAGAAAATGGTTGATTCTAAGCCAAAAGCAGCTCAGGAGAGAGCAATAGCATTGCAGGACATAAAAGATGTATTAAGCACCACCAGCATGTCTGCTGGAATTGTTGGAGAGTGGACCTATATGCAGACAAATAATATGAAAGGTGTGAAGCCATAATGCATCTGAAGTTAATTAAAATAGTGCAAATTGAGAGTGCAATCCAATCTGGATGCCCATGACCCTCCAAATTTGGAGGATTGCTGGCACCTGAGGCAGGTCACCTCTGTACTCCTCCCACCCTGCACAACAGCCAATTTGGGCCATCTCAGTGTTGCACCTTGGTGCATGGGGAGGGGGTGGCTGGGAGGCCACCAGGGTACTTCCAATTCATGGCGATGCCTCCTGCCGCTCTTCCCCGCCCCCGGAGTGCCCATTCAGCCTCAGATGCAACTGCCCCAGTTCCCTCTGTACTGGCTGTGAGAGTGGGAGGGCACTTCCAAGCTTGGGACGCAGGTATGAGGCTGGAGTGCTTTTCTGACCTTGTAGCTAGATCTCCAAATTGCCTTGTGCCCTTTGAGACAGTGTTTAGTGGCCATAGGGTTGCAGTGCCTGCCGCTGACGTAACACAGATTCTGTTATGCTATCAGCAAACATAGGCATTTCAGTCTATGATGAAGCTGGGCGCAAAACATTAAAGGAAACCTGCAAGGGTTGTTGTAGAGTTGTAAGATATGTAAAACAGCTCAGCAATGCAAATTGTCATCTATAGGCTCTGTTAAACTTAAGTAATGGCTACCATATTTAAAATCAAGCAACTTGGAAGAATTTATATACATACCCATGTCTGAATTTCTAAAGCCTGGTGAAATAGAATAGTAAAGAGTGCAACAGTATTGATCGTTGTTCCAAAGGTGAAAACATCAATGTCAGAATCATAATATGCCTGGAAAATAGGGAAAGTGATAGGTATATCGCTTGCACATGTTTTTGGTTTCATTAACAGCTATTTAGAGAATGACTTAAATACTTACTAGGTAAGGCACAAAGAAGCAGACAAGGCTCTGGTAAAAGGCATCCAAAATGGCAATGTAAAATGTAAGAGGCTTGTAAATCTGTAGCAAAAAGAAGAGAGATCATCAGAAAACATGCACAATTCCTCAGTACTTCACCAAATATCTCCTCTGAACAGGAGGAGCCATACTTCAGGGGCAGATGGCATGCTTTGCATCATGCAGAAAGTCCCCCTGGGATCAACTCTGGACATGCCAGTTAAAAGAAACAGAGCAGTCATGGGATGCTGAGATTCCACAGGACCTTGTCAGACCCAGAGAACTGGCGGTATTGGGCTCGATGGTTTCAGGCACTTGATAGAAGGCAGCTTCCCAAGGCCTCTGTGGACTCTTGCTTTGGCTAATCCAAGGACTGCATTCACAGCACTGTTGTGGTCAGTTCAGTTACATTTTGGATGATTGTACATCACTGACTTTCTACCGAGTGGCATTGGATCCACGCCGGAATGGTCAGAGTAGGAAAGCTGGCCTGCAAAGTTGATAAAGTCTGTCCTTCCACTTCCACAAGTTATTACAGGCCCTGCTCTGTCCCCTCACAACTGGGGGAGAATGAACCAAGCTGGCTGCCTCCTCCCCAAGATCTCAACTGGGTCCTGGAGGGGAGGAAAGGGGCATGGCAGCGGGTGGGTTGGGGTTGTAGAGCACCGAATCCAGATGGCCCAAAATGGCTGTCTAGGGAAATGCAGGGCATGAGGTGCTGGCGGAGACTCTACCGCAGTATCTGCTGCAGGGGTGATAAGACTATACCCTTAATCTCTTTTGATTTCATTGCATTCCTTCTCCCAGTGCAAGAGAAGCCCCTGGAATCACATGTTTTTACCGTACCTGCAGCCTAAACTACACTGTGGTGTGGGTGGAGGAAGGTGAGGGACACGCTCTGTCAAAATTCACCCACCCTCTCCACAAGTCACCTTTTCACCCACTATAGCGAAGGATCTGGAAGAACCTATAGGGAGCCCATATCTTCTGCCTAATGGGAAGAACAATTCTGAGGTGGAAAAGGATCAGAGAGGGAAAACAAAAGCAGTGTCTGCCTTCCAACTCTTTTGCATTCCATCGAGACTGCTTGGGTTAAAAATGTGGTGGAACGGGTAGTGTAACTCTTTCAAACGTGCGGCCTGAGCCTCAGGGCTGCAAATGGACATTGCTTTTAAATCCATATCTATTGGCTACATCTTTATTGTTACTCTAGAGTAAGGGAAGGGACGATACAGTTCTTAAAAGCCCCCCTACTGTCTCAGATAGGGTCCCAATCCAGATAAGGGCTTCTGTGCCTACTCTAGAATAAAAATGAAAATAGAAAAGATGTAGCTGCAGATTTGTAGGCTTTCTGGATTCTCCTGGAAGATTGGCACAGAGGTGATGAAAGCTCTAAAGGGTTCAAGGTCTAGTGAGTCGTCCCAGTTTCTTGAAGGCACGCCAAGGCTCTGTGGCCTCCAGCTTGGTAGGAAGAGCATGAGAGATAATTGCCTTCAAGCTGCCTTCCACAATCACTGGGTGCGTTCACATGCAATGGCAACCCATCATGGTCAATCACCATGATGGCTTGTGGTGAGGTGCCAAACAACTATGACGAGCCCTTCAGATGACGGGCCTCATCATGGCTGCCCCGCTCCCTGCCCCTGCCTCCTTCTCTTTCAGTCTTTCCAGTGGGGTCCCAGCGACTCCAGAGGGAGGCATGGGGCTGTGATCACAAACCACGTTCAGCTCGCTGGGGCTGGCAACCAGTCTGTGCTGCACTATGGCTTACGCCCTGACGCCCAGCAGAGACAATGGAGGAGCAAAGTAGACACCGTGGAGGTGAGGGTGCCTGCTCGGCTCTCAGGTACGAGGGAGGCAGTCTGCTGGGCAGCTTCGTCAAAAGAGGCAGCACCTTTCTGTGGATTCCCTTGCCTCTGCTTGAGAGGCTTTCTCTTGAGCAAGAGTGGGGACGCAAGGCTGGGCTAGGTGGGGGATGCTCTGATCTTATTGCATGCTCCCCTAGGCCAGGCATCCCCTCCCCTGGCTCTGCTGGAAAGAGAGCCACTCAAGCAGGAGTAGGACAGGGGGAGCCTGTGCTACCTCCAGTCCTCCCCTCCCTGCTGTTGCTTGTGTGGCTGCCTTCTGAGCAGGAGCTGGGAAGGGTGCCGGGGCTCGGGGGGACGCTCCCTTCTTGGACAAGCCGGAGAGGAAACCTCTCGCACATTGGTGGCAGGTGGAGCGATCAGCTGAGCATCACTGCCAAGAGCTGGGCGGCTGTCAGCCGTGCTCTCTGGCCAGAGCAGCAATGACCACGCCTGCCCAGCAGCTCCCTTGTTCTCAGCCATGCTAAGTCAAAATAGTAAATCATTCCACCGGGGTTCAGACAACAGGACAAAGAATCATTGACCAGTGATCAATGTTATGTTGTGTGAACCCATTTGTCTGTAGATAAGGCCTTTCTTTGCTGTGGGAATGAAGCTGTTTGTCTTACTGAAGCAGCTTTGCTCCCAGGAAGGAAGTGCAGGAGCCTGTGCACATTCCGAGAGACTCTGAAATAACTGGAGAGAGGAATGTTTCAAAAGTCCAGCAGAGAGACCGTGCCTTTCATTCTCGGCCTGGAGAAAGAATTGATGCATCACTCAGGTACCTTTAGAGGACCATCGAGCATTTCCTGGCCTTCAGAAAATCAATATGCCCACAGACAAAGGGGAATGTAAACTTCCCTTTGCTTGGTTATAATCTGTGCCTGTATTTCAGCATTGATTCGATAAATTGTATATCATCTTTGACACAGGTGGTTTCTTTTCTTCCTAAGTATCCTAGAATCTTGGTTCTTGGCAGGACTAAGCCCTTATGGTTCACACAATATGAACCTAAAATCACATTTGTTTTGGATCTTCAACTAGCCAGCTGAAAACTTCGCCTCTGGACTGTATAATGGTCATAGGACTGCATGTTTCTCTGAAATCTGGTTGATGATGAACATTTTTTGTGGTTTGTGAGAAATCACTGCACATATCTGAGCAAGAAAAGTATACCTCTGAATTTTGTCCACTCTTGTAAAGTTCAGGCAAGTTTAATAGAGTTTCTGCAGAAACGTCCCTGTCTAAGACTCCTGAAACTAGTGGTGGTACTGAAGTAAAAAACATGTTGAAGAAGATCAGTTGCCAGTAGTCCATCATGGAGGCTCCCGAGAAAGCACAGAAGAACTGGTACCAGAAGAGCAAATTGACATAGGCCTGATGTGGAAAAGTTAAAAGGTGAAATGTTTCCAATGCTTGTAATGTTCAGGATATGTATTTGTATACACGTACCCTTATTTACAAAGGCATATAGACGATTACTTTCTAGAACTGCTTAGCAAGCTGATCTGTGACTCAGTTAAGCTGGATCTCATCAATTTAAGGCAGCCGGGGGTGGTGGTGGTGAATGACTCTGGAGAAAGTAAGAATCCAGATGGGGAACTACAACTAACAATGGCCACCTTGAAGATAACATCTTCTCATAGGAATGGAAAACCTATTTTGTAGGGCCAATTCATCAGGTTATTTGATGGAAATATCTACATTTTTACAGGCTTTGTCAGGGGACTAACGAAATGGCTTCTTGCATTAGACTGTGGGGCAGGGACAACTTTGGAGGGTCCCATAACCATTTCCCACCCTCTGGAGAGCAACAGGGCATGCATTTTCTCCTGCTGTGGTAGCTACTGCTAAACTGCCACTGACTTTCAGCAGCAGTTTGGTGGTGAGAACAATGTTTCTGCTTTAAAACAAGGCATGGGGGAGTGTACGCCATGTTTTAATGCAAAATTGTGCTTCTGAAAGCCTCAGGGAGCAGAATTTTGCATTAAAACAAACCATGTCCTCTCCAAGCACCTTGCTTTAAAGCTAAAACGTGTATTTTTCTTGCTCTTGCACACCACCAAAATTGGCAGCAATTCAGCACTGCAGCAGCAACAGTCTTTTGGGGATGCGTGTTGCAGCCTTTCAATATCCAACGTTAACCAAATCTGCAAGGCAACAGAGACAAAAAAATTGGAAGCTTAGCGTCCATTGAGAAAATGGCCATGGGGAGGGGGGAAGAGTGACTGGGCTTTTGAAAATGAAGTGATGGGGATGGTGGGAAATCAAGAAGGAAGTTTCTTAAGGCAATACAGCTCAGACATTTTCTCATGAAAACTTGCTTCTTCTTCCTCCTTTGCTGAACCTTAGTTGTGGACTTCCAAAAGGGGCAATGATTCATATTAACTCCAGTATGCACACATTACATGAGATTGAAGGTTTGTACTGAAACTTCTTCCAATATTGCCAATGCTGATTACTGTAGTTGCCAATGGATAGCATGTGGCTCCCATCAAATTAAGCGTATTGGCAGGATTTATATCCGAAGAAGAGCCAAATCCCATTCTGAATCTTTATAATTTAGATTCAAAATGTGTGCAGAAGCAGAGCCAGGGTTATACCAATGAGTGTGTGTGTTTAAAATAGAGAGTATGACCTATAAAGCCCTAAACAGCTTGGGTCCTGGTTACCTGAAGGAGCGCTTACATCCATATATGCCCGGCCGCCCCCTGAGATCAGCGGGAGAGGCCCTTCTCCGGGAACCCTCCGTGAAAGAAATTAGGAGGGTGGGTACTCAGAGGAGGGCTTTCTCTGCGGTGGCGCCTAAGTTATGGAATGCGCTCCCCAGAGAGGTCCACCTGGCGCCGTCGTTATTTGTTTTTCGGCGCCAGGCGAAGACCTTTTTATTTAAGCGGCATTTTAACTGTTAGTATTATTTGATCTTATCTGGCCAGGGCGGCTTATTTTATATTGTATTTTTTGGATTTTTAATGTTTATATTTATTGTAATTTATATCACAATTACTTTTATTTATTGTTGTAAGCCGCCCCGAGGCTTCGGCAAATGGGGCGGCATAAAAATGTTTAAATAAATAAATAAAATAAATATTTGAAGATAAATGTCTTATTTTGGCTTTTGGAAAAAATGGGAAGGAAGCTCTCTGGTTGATTTAAGGGTCAATCTGCTTTTATCTTGTCTATTTCTGGATGGTGATTCATCCTTATGGTTCTGCTTGTGACTTCACAGAATGCTTTGTAGGATATTTTTGGAGCTTGTGAGCTCCTGGTGTGGATCCCTAACCAGATTTAATATAAATAATCGTCATCCTCGAACTGAAGCGAGTGCATGCCTGGATGGCACAGAAGCACTGAAGGAGATGTTTATGCTTACCACATTTTTATAGAAAAAATATAGCACCATTTTCCCCAAGCGAGAGTAGCACCAGTGGCCGTGGACTAGAAGCAGCTTCTTGAGGTGCTTAAACTGAGTTATGGCAAAATCACTGGCCATGACAGCCTAAAAGTGAAGAACATTTGTTAAAAGGAACACTGCATTTTCATCTGATGCAAGCAACTCAGAGGCAGGCAAGCCGGACGGCAAAGTGGGAAATGCAAACATGTTTCAAGCCTGGTGAAATTTTAAAACCTACTCAGGTTTCATTGCAAAACTGTAAGCGTCTACCTTTCCGAGGGCCTGCTGGGAGTGAGGCTCTCTTTCTGTCTAAACCTGCACAGGACTGCATCTTAAATGAGTGAAAATATGACTATTACCAATCTGATGATAAGAAGAATTTGGGATGAGACAGCCTGAAACATCAGACACTTGAGCAAAATACCCAATGACTGTAATTTATTTATTCAGTAGGCCAGAGCTCCATGCTCAGAGACTGCTGGACTTGGGAGGGACGTACTTATCCATGGCTCACTGGCTTATATGGAAGCTGTGGCTCAGATCAGTTCTTGACATGCCAGAAGGTGATCTGGTTAATGAGTAAGACAGAACACTCTGACCAGCTCTGGACATCAGTACGAGGGAGGTCTGCATGCTTAAATCAAGGCACCCATATAGGCATTTTGATTAATTGTGGGTACAGACCATTTCACCTCATTTCCACAGTGTATGTTTGTACATTATGCCAGCAAATGATAATGATAACTTATGTTCATGTTGTATACAGAATGCACCCTCCTATAAATTCTGAACACGGCCGATGAATGCCTGAACAGCAGTTGCCAAGGCAAAAAGAAACACTGCAGTGAATCGGCATACCTGCATACCTTCTTGTCCAGAAAGGCCAATTCCAATATCAGCTGCCTGAATCATACTTACATCATTTGCACCGTCACCTAGAAAAGAGGTGAATGGCAACAATTAAAACAGTGTACAAGTTAATGCAAAGCCTTTTTTTTCTAGCATTGATCTCAGTGTAGGTAATACCAAGGGCTAGGTCTGAATGTGCATCTTGGGTTCAGCAGATGTCTCTTCACTCCTCCCCTTAAACATCTGACTCCTTCTCAGCCTTCTTGCAAGACAGCATCACAAGCCTTTGCAATTCCCCTTGGTTTCAAGGACACTTTCTCCACTGGCTGAGTTGCTGGGGTGGGGGGTACCAACTGCTTGAGAAAACTTGAGCTCAAAGATCTATTTTTACGAGCCTGCTTGTTTAAGTTCATATCTAGCATCATGGGCCAGGCAACCTGGGACCACTGAAAGCAGGTTTTGTACCTGCACGTCACCTGATGGCGACTCATCTGACAATTTTCAGTTATACATGTAAACTGCCACTGAATTGTTTTTGATGTGAGCAGAATCAGGGTGCTAAATGTGCAACAGTTAATTTACTCCTGCAAGTTATCATGTAAGGCAGCCATGGATCATGTGTGCATCCCCAGATGTACTGGCCTACATCACTTCCTCACCTTCAGCTAGGGCTCATGGGAATTGTGGGTCAAAATATCTGGTGGGCCACAAGTTGCCCACTCCTGCCTTACATGAAGCTTTGCCAAATGAGGAAACTTTGGATGATGAGCATAAACATCCGTACTCAGGGCCAAACCATACAGGCAGTAAAAGAAGAGCCCACCTGAAATGTTTGCACTTCAGGTGGAAGATTGTACAACTGAATGCTGTCCTTCAAGAAAACTTCCCTGCCTGTGAGGCTTGGATTAGCTGGCTCAAAAGGTTCCCCAGCAACTCTGGGATTCTATGAGCAGCAATTCATAGGCACATGGATCGCAGGCCAGCACAACACGACATTTCAACCATTTTTCTAAGAACAGGGATTTCCTGATAAAAGCCTCTCTATCCACTTTCTCCGCAACAGGCACAATGTTATCATTCCCTCCCTCACTTGCTTTTTCTGAACTAAAAAGCCTCTACCATTCTAACTTCTCCTCCTAACAAGTTGCTTCTCCTGCTTGATCATTTTGTGTATCCTTTTGTGCCTCTCCTGTACAGTATGTGCAATTTAGGTGTGTCCTTTCTGTATCTTTCCACTTTTTCAATATCCTTTTTAAGGTGTGGGGACCAGAACGGTAAACAGTATTCCAAGTGTGGTCACAACACACATTTCTAGAAAGGCAGTATGATTTTGGCAACATTCATTTGGATTCCTTTCCTAATGCTCTCCAGCACAGAATGTGCCTTTTCGCAGCTCCTGTGCACCAGGGTAACATTTTCACTGAGCTATTTCCATGACCCCCTTCTGGCCAGTCACTGCCAGCTCTGATCCATCAGCACATATGCAAAAATAAGAACTTCCCCCCAGGGTGCATCACTTACTTACTTTTGTTCCTATTAAATCACATTTGCTCTTTCAAAGCCCATTCTGTTTGTTTGGACAGATCCTCTTGGACCTCTTCACTGTCCCTTTTTGTTTTCCAAACCACGTGGGCACCAAGCACAGCCTCCTTCCCCCGCACTTGTGTACAAGGTGGCTTTAGCTCAAGCTAAGCGGCAGCAACCCGTGCCAAGCGCTGGACGTAGGCTGCTCAAGTGGCATGGACCCACCTACTGCCAGGGCCAGGTGTCCCAGCTGGCTCCGTACAAGTTTGACGACCATGCCTTTCTGCAAGGGAGTGCACCGGCAGCACAGGACCGAGCGGCTATGCTGGGTTAGCTCGAGAAACTTATGCTCAAGCTGTCCCTGAAAAATTGTATTCAGGGTTCTTCCATCAACCACCAGACCAATCGTGGGTTTGGGAGTTAAAGGGGCTGATGCAGAGAAGGGCAGCCGAATGCCAAAAAAAGTGCACACTGATTTTTCATTGACTTGATCCTTTTTTGCTTCTTCCAGCATGATATCCAGCAGTGATTCACACGTTTCCTGTGAAAAGAGAATTGTGCAAGGTTTCATGGCAGACTGTGCTTAAAGCAGAGGAAGAGGAGTTGCTTCACTGGTTTGTAGTAATATTTTAATCATCCCATCATCTCCTAGACTGGTGAACTGATATGAAACCATCTAGTCTTATAGACCACGTTGTGCTTAACTAAGCTGTGACTTAATTATAAACACATTCATAATTTGTAGCTAATTTGTGTTGTGCTAATTCTTGGTTTGCCCATCTGTCTTACAATTCAAGATTTGCCATGTTTGGTTGCAGTTTAAAGCAGCTTGGTGCCTTCCAGTTGTGCTAGACTATATCTCCCATCATCCCCAGCCAGCAGTCCAACTGCCCTCCTAGGTAGAGTGTCAGCATCTGGGGCATGGGTGGCTGACGAGTGGACAGGAGCACCAGCACCTGGGCAACCAGGGAGCAGCACAAGGGCCAGTCGGTTTGAAGGCACAGTTATGCTGTCCAAAGATCAGGGTCAGGGGTTGAAGCACAAAGCAGGGTCCATTCAAGAAACAAGCTTGGTTGGACAAGCCGGGAGTCAGGGAATGGAGAAGATAAGCCGAGGCAAACAGACACCTCCATGGCAGGAGCACTCTAGCAACTCCAGAAGCCTTCGTTGCCAAGGCAGCTTCTGGGGAGAAGAGCCAGTTCTTATCTAGCTCGCTCCCCAGGGCTTCCAGGTGGGTCTCATGAGAGCCCTGGCAGCTGCAATAGACCTGTGTAGTAATCCTGCAACACCCAGGGCTGCTGTGCTGGTCCCTGACCAGCAGAGAGAGCCCTGAAGCTGACCTTGGTCTTGACATAGAGACAGTGCCAGCTGTAGTTCAGCACATCTGGAGGGCAACAGGTTGCAAGGGGTTGCTTTAAGGGATTTGTTACTTTCAGTGGATACTTGGAAGTAATTGCAGTATGATGACAGCAGAGACATGCAAAGGGGTAGTCTCACAGGCAGTGGAGAATCTGGTGGCAGAGGTGCCATGGCATTACACCAGACGGCTCTTGTTCTTGGGTGCCATCCCAGCACCACTGATAATACTCTGCTGAATACCTGACCCATGCAGCCCACCCACCATGTGGGTCAGCCAGGCAGGCATTTGAGAACCCTGCTGCCTCTGCCATGGTCCTACCAGAGGACCACCTTTTTAGAGGATGAAGGACTCCCAGAGACAGACTGCACCAAGAAACAGCTCAGGCTTGAAAGGAAGACCAGGAGATGTCTCGGCCCTTGTGGGAAACATCCATGGGGCCACTGCTGCAAGAGGAGGGGAGTGCTGCTTTTGGACCTGAGGCTGGGCAGCCACCTGGGAGGGGCTCAGGATGTTCAAGTTATAAGCCTCAGTGCTAAGCAAGGGCTGCTGGAGCAACATCTTAATGCCAGCTGTGGTCCTTGATCACCCTGCCTCTGATTTCCTGGCCCTCACTCTGCCGGACCTTATTTTTTATTTATTTATTTAATTTTTATACCGCCCAACAACTGAGGCTCTCTGGTTGGTTAACAAAAGTTTAACTTGTTAAAGGTCTACTACCTTGTGAGTAGTCCCTGGATCACTTTGTGACCTCATGTTTGGGCTCTGCCTCGCCTGAGTCTTTGCTTGCATCTCGCTGGCTCTGGCCACAGAATGCCTACTGACTTCAAGTTTGTATTCAGCCTCGTCTAAATCCATGCTCTTTGTGTAAATTGTGCTGGCTTAGATCCAGCACTGCCTCTGATTCTGCATGATGCCCTTCTTTATCCTTGCTTCACTCCTCATTCTGCAATCAAAGCCAAGAATAGTGAATCAAATGGCTTACTGGGCCACTGGAGGACCACCAAACACAGTATACTCCCATGAAGTCACAGTTCAGCGTTCACGGTGTCAGTCTTTCGTGGGAATTTTCTCTGAGCGAGTCCAAACCAATCTCCTTGCGAGTAAGCCAGTGCCTCACTGTGTGGTGGCTTATTCACAAGCAGATCGTTTCTTCCGAGTTTGGACAACCGGCGTCCATCACAGCACCAAATTTGCAGTTTTTCACAATTCGCAGGTGCTTTAGGAACATAACCCCCATGAATTTCAGGGGACTACTGTATATCTGTGGGGCTGAATTTCACTCAGTGGGTCACAGGCTATGCAAGCAAGCCTGCCCTAGTATTACAGCCACCCTGCACAAACACTGAAACCAGGGCAGAGTGAAGGAATCCTTTCAAGTTCAATCACTATTGTAATTCAAATTTCATCTAGAAGGCAGCTTGCCACCTGTTTCTCATTGCAAGGAAAGGGTACTCATTTTGTTGTACAATTTAGTATTTCTAAATATGGGACAGATGGCAAGCCAACTAGCAAGTACCAAAGCAACACCCCCAGCAGTATTTTTGCAAGCTGCCAAATGCACATGACAACATTAAAGCCAATTTCGTATGATTTGTTTTCAGTGCCCACAAGATCTGCCCGGTTCCTGAATTACAATGCTGTTGGATTCACCTTGCTTTCAGTATTGATGGTAAAGACAGTGTCTCTTTGGTCTAGAAGCTTGCAAGAATGGGCAATATTGATGGCGGTTTCCTGCTTATCACCCGTCAGCACCCAGATCTGGATCCCAGCCTCTCTGAAGGCTGCAATGGTGTCAGGCACTCCATCTTGCAATCGATCTTCAATCCCAGTTGCTCCTGGCACAAAGGAGAAAAGGGGAACCATTCCTTGGTGAAGGATGCTGATGTTCCCTTGTGCCACAGACAAAGCTTTCAAAGATTAAAACACTTGGCTATTTTTCCTGAAGTAAAATCTAATCTAATTTACTGACAGCCCACCAAAATAAAGCAAACCTGTTGAATGTGTTTATGTGCTTGGTTTGCCTAGATCCCACCTTTTTCCCAGCATGGAATTCAAGGTGATTTTCCAGTCCAGGTATGAACCAGACCCATACCTGCTTCCTTTCTTTAAGATGACAGCATCATCTGCCCTCAGTCCTTGCCCTGGAAAAACAAATTCAGGCAGATTCTCCCCATTCTGTTTCCTTAAGGTTTGAGTTGGCCTCATAGGCAACTGTGGAACCAAAGGTTGCCACAACCCTCCTTTGGAATGTGGTGAAATATCACATCTCATGGCATTGCAGCAGACACACAATGGTGAAAAATGGCACTGAACCAGAGAGCCTACTCTTGCAGGAGAGGAAGGCATTAATGAGTGATTTTATTTCTGCAAGCAGCTCATGCAGAAACTCTTGCATAGAAAGAACATCAAGCTGCATGCTAAGACTCTGCTCTACATCCAAATGCATATTTGCATGCAACTTGTTATACACATAGCTTGTCCCACTGCACAAGCATTGCTGCATGGAACTGCACAAATAGTTTGCCCCATTTGTTCCTAACCCTCTGGGTCATAAACTAAAAATGGTCATAGCATCATGCGAAAGATATGAAATTTCACTAAAAGGCCATCTGTTTAATTGAAAGACATTTGGTAAACAAGTCGACTTGCCTCATCAAGAGAAGTTAGAAGGTTATATTACCTTTCCCAGCTTGGAAATGTTCAAAAATTAAGATAAAGTGGCTAATTGAATGCTGGAGATAATTAATGGCTGAAAGAATAATAACATCTCTTCTACCAGAGGTCATCATTAGGTTATTGGCTGTGATAATTATTGCACATTACATGCAAATGATTCCTTAAAGCATGGCTGGCTAACTTGGGTCACAAACGTCACATATGGCACAGGCATTATTGGGTTCAGGTGCTCCTGGATACACGTCATGGGGACCAAAGGGCTTGCTGTGCCCCTCTGGTTTACCTTTCTGCCTGTCCTTCTGGTCATGCAGTGCTGCCCGTACCTTGGATCAGTAGCTGATGGATAAAGCTGTGAAGGCAGCTCCCCCAACCTGGTGCTTTCCAGATGTTTTGCACCACAGCTCCCATAATCTGTGATGAATGGCCATGCTGGCTGGGGCTGCTGGGAGCAGAAGGCCAAAACATCTGGAGGGCACCATGCTGGGGAGGCTGCTTTACGGCACCTGTGTTGCAGCGCACAGTTGTGGCACACTTGTTAGAAAGGCTGGCTGCCACTGAATTCGAGCAAGCCGACACAACTGTAAAGTTATGATTTGTGCTCAAAAGCTCTGCTTGGCATACTGGCTGTTCCACTGACCCCAAAGTGGGGAAGGTAGGAGCTCCACAGGTGCTGTTCATTGCTATTTAGGTGAATGGGGTGTAAAAGCGGCCCACCACTCTTCCGCAATGTACAAAGGACTCCACTTTCAAAAGGCATCATGGAAGATGATTCCTGACAGGGTCACAGGAATACTTTGCAATTATGCTTGCACCAAAGCGTTCCATCTGCATATATGTAGGGTGCTGTGAGAATGAGCCAGATAAGAGACTCTTAACAGAACGTGTAGCAAAGATGGTGAAATCCTTTGAAAGTTCTAGCTTGAAAGAGACAAACAGTGACTGAAACAAGGCAAATGCATATCCTTTACATATTATGGTTTGTAAAGCAAGAATGAAGATTTGAAAACAGCTATATATACCTTTTACAAGCCACTGGCAAGCTTGTGCAAAACTGCATGGCTATATAATTTATACTGTGTACATTTCTATCTACATGTACAGTACATGTCTGTGCTTTATATATCTTTGTATAATTTTCAAAACTATACAGGAAGACATCAGAGATAAAAATTGTCACAGATTGCAAATGCCAACAATACTTTCATTATAAATAGGCAAGGTGAGACTTAAACCGTGACTCACTCCCAAGTAAATGTGTTTCAGACTGGATGCAGGCCAGTAATTACTTTTAGCAGCCAAGAATATCATTACACTACCTAATGAATCATCTTAAAAGATACCTAGTAAGGTGAGTTCAGTCTCCAGATGTTGGGCTGTCTCCATTAATAGCTCCTCTCTGTTGTCAATTGCTGTTTCTGCTTCACGACGAAAGTTGACCCATTTTTGAAAGTCATCTTCACTCAAGACCTAACACAAGAATGCAAGAAGACCTCAACTGGATGAAATTAAGATCCATCTAGTCCGACGTTCTGCTCACATGGTGGCTAAGAAGCTGCCTGTGGAAAACGTGGAGGTAGGCCAGAAGTGCGGCAATACCCTCCTGCTCATGTTCCCCAGCGACTGGTGCACACAGGCATCCTACCCTGGATCCTGGAGGGAGCACACAGCCTCAGGTCTAGCAGCCATTGAAAGGCCTGTCCTCCACGACCTTGCCTAATCCTCCTTTGAAGCCACCCTATGGCAACATGTACTCAAGGTTTTGGACGGCAAAGCAAAAGGGTTCTTGCCACGGGCTGGTTCTTTGAGACGAACATTTCAAACAAATTTACATGAATGGCAGCCCAATCGTTAGAATAAGCCCCTGGGAGTGGCCACCCCAATTGCAGTGCTGGTGAAACATCACAAACCATGATCATGGATTTATCTGTCATCAGGGGCACACTGGGTAGGAACTCATGGACAGGCTTCTTGGTGGAGAGCCAGCGAGGTGCAGTGGTTAAGGGCTGGATGAGGACTCAGGCTGGGAGAGCCAGGACCTAGTCCCCCCAGGGCCATGACGCTCACTGGGGAACTTAAAGTGACAAACTCTCAGCCTGCCCTACCTCACATGGTTGTTGTCTGGAGCCTTACAGACCTCCTTGGGGTCCTTGTAAGAGGAAAAAAAAGTGGGATATGAATCTAATATGGTGGCCATGATGATGATGATGATGCTCTCGGGCTCTGAAACATACTCGCAAGGGAGACTAGGCGAGGTCAATTTTTATGTTCTTCTATGAGGAGGCAAATATATTTTGATTCAATTGGGCCTTTGACTTTTGAGCTGACTCATGTACCGAAGTAGGTTTTAATAGGGAGGCACCTTCTTTGTAATGTATGTGTTTTTAATTGATTTGCTGTTATATTTTAATTATGATTTGGATCATATCTTATACTTTATTTTAGTTGGCTGTCTGCAGCTCTATATGTTGGGATATACATTAAATTAATCAATCAATAAATCATGGGCTGACTGATCTGAGATGTCACTGTGAACACTAACATCTCAGCGCCCTTTCCCATCTTCCAGTTCATTGGCCCACAATCCACAAATCATTTTCTCTGCAGCAGCCTTGGAATATTAATGCACACTTTGATGGATCTTCTCCAGTAAAGCCTGGAGAAGCTGCAGATGTCAGACAATTTACATCATGATTTATTGGCCTAGATGGAATACTGAACACTGCCTGAATTGCAAGGGATCATCTGTTTCAACCTCCCCTGACCTGCTGCCTTCCAGATGGTTTGAATAGCAACTTCCAGCATTCCATACTGGCTAAGGATGATGGGAACTGAAGTCAAAAACATCTGGGAAGGCACCAGGTTTGGGAAGCTGCTCTGTCTAATTGAAAAAGCCTTTTGGAATGGCTAAGTTAGGAACAGCTAAGACAGTGACAAGAAGAGTCAACATGGAGAGGTTGGATTAGAGTATTGGTCCTTTGAGTTTAATTATAAGATTATTTAGATTGAGGAGATGAAAAGGAATAGGAAACAAGCCTGTGAAAGCAGATACAGAAGCATCATTCCACAGGAGAATTGGCTTGAAATGTCAATATAAGCCGTTTTTAGCTACTTTTTGAAGAAGAGGAGGACAAGAGGGCGGCTTCTTACCTTCTTAGCTATGCACAAGGTTCTCAGGCCATCTTGTGCATACATATCTAAATGCTTTTGGGTTTGAATTCTTATCTTCTTTATCTTCTTTTCTGTTGCAACACTAGCTGTGAAACACAAATAGATTTCTTTATTCCAGGTATGGATTACTGAAGTCTCCCATCTAATTCCTGCGGGGTTAGCCCATTTTGCTGTCTAAGGCAGAACATCAAATGGTGTTCCGCACCACCACCCCTCCTCACAAGCTTTCTGACCACCCCTTTCTTTCCACCACCCCTCACAAGCTCAAGCAAAACTCTTTCTAGGCATGTTGCTACAGGACCTGCACTCTGTATAGTAGGCACTTAGGCACTTAAGGAACCTGTGCTTGGTTATTACAACTTTATGGGATTTCTCAGCTCTGTTTGGCTCCTGGCTCTTTAAATCTAGCAAAGGCATACAATGGACAGGGCATTTTAGGGAGTTATGAATTCCTGCAGTAGATGGTACCAAAAGTCCATGCATTGCTGCTTCCCACAGTAATCCACAAGGCACTGTCCCCACCACATAGTTCCTGCGAACATTTCATTTATTTGGCTTGGCCAATGCCCAGTAAACTTGGGCTGGACAACACCCCCCCCCATGTCATCTGGGCTCTGGCTAAAATAGCAGCTGGAGCTCTTCCTGTAATCTGCCAGGGATCCTCCAGGTGCTGTCCTGGTTGGGCTGAATTCACCTGCCCCATGTCTCCCCCCACTGCTTTCTCTCCCAGTTAGGAAGGTGAGGAGGGCACTAAAGGGAATCCCTGACCCCCTGCAGGGGGTGGGGTGGAGTGAGGTGAGAGAAGGATCTTTTGTGGGCTTACTGGGGAACTTCCATGGGCCAGATATTTCCTGGCCCTGCACAAAACTCCCCTTCCTCCTTTAATCTGTTTAATTGTCCATTGAAGTAATCTGAGCCAGTGGGCCTCATATCTGGCCGCAAAAGTTGTTGTGCTTTGGAAAGGAGGCCCTTCTGTATGTCTGTCCTCAGGTCTGCTGCCTGCCCATCAAATTCACTGGTGAGTCCAGGCCTGAGTTCCCTTTGAGAGAGGCAGGGGTAAATCTCAGCTATAAAGCTTAAGGGGAATACCCCAGGATGCATACAGAGGATTCTCCATCTTATTTATTGATTTATAGCTTTTATATACTGCTGTTTAGGAGACACTCTTAGAACAGTGAGAATAGTCTTCTTACCCGCAGCTTATTAGACAGCAGAGTTGCAATCTTAGGCCTGCTCCCCTGAGAGACGGACACCACTGAATTCAATGGGACTTACTTCTGAATAGATATAGGACTGTGTGGTAAAACAGAAGGACAGAGCCCTCCCCAGCCAAGCCAAACAGGGTTGTTTTTTCCCCGGTTGCTCTGCTCCTTCTGCCTTGGCTCTTCCCCTTGAGGCCACGCATATTATCTTATACACATGAGATAATAAGTGTGTACCACCTGCAGGTCTGTACCACTACTTTCTTTTCCTTGGCTTCTCCTTCTCTTCTTTTACCCTTCCTTTCTGTCTGTCTTTGTCTTTTTCCAGAACCCCTTTTGATTCTCTCTGTGGGTGCACTCTTGTGCATGCACACACTTGCAAATAAGTTCCACTGACTAACTGGTGACTAGCATGGCACAGGAATCACGCATAGCCTTGTACTGCAGGCACACAGGCCGTGGGACCGATCCTTGATACTCGCAAAAGCAATCAGAGAGCTGTGGCAGAAGGGGGTCCCAGGTCTGATCCAAGGTCTGAGTGCAAGGTCTCAGCCTGGATAATGAGAAGCCTTGGCCTGTACTCCTGTAAAAGCAAGCCAATATTGCCGGCTCCCCTTTCATGACCAGTGTGTGGTTCCTACAGCAGAATAGGTGAAAGAAAGAGGCAGGAGACTCTTAGAGCAGCACAGATACTTTGGAAGCCTCCTCACTGTGTTCAGTTCAAGTCTACCTTCCTGCTCAGGGTACAGTTCTAGAAAAGTGACAGAATACTTCAGTTTTTGCAGTGGAATCTGACAGTGATTGACAGGGACTTGCTGGGACCCATGATGTTCAAAAGAAACTACAATTCTTGTAGCAGTGTGAAAAACTTTCCTCATTCATTAAAATTAATAAAGCAACAATGGGATGGAAAAGGTGGTGAATTAAAAATGTGACACATTTAGAGAAGCAAAAAAATGCATCCGAAAGCCTGCCTGAAGTAAAGAGGGAGGAGTGAGGTTGACAGTTCCCCTGAGCATGCCGATAGCTTCCTTTTGTTTCTCAGGATTAGAACCAAAATGAGATCACTGAGAGGATTTGGGGGACTGAGTGCTTCATTTGAGGGAGAGGTGATTGTCCCCCAGCTTCTGCTATGCAGTTAACAGACTACCACCATGTAAGAGATGATTGTCCCACTGCAATCAAGAAGCTTGCATGTCTGTGATGTTCCCTAGACTGTGACCACTGCAGTTAACAGACTACCACCATGTATTCATGTGTATCTGACCTCCGAAGAGTACCACGATTTGCAAGATTCAAAAGCTTTAACTGTTGGGCTCATAAAACCAATGAATGTCATCTTCCTGCAAACTCACAGTAGCTTGCTCTACTTGCCAAGCACTCTCCTCTTCAGCAAACAGACACCCCTGCTTGGATCTGCAGCTACTAGGGTTGTAGTGACAACTGTGTTGCTTCTTCATAATCCTGCAGACTGGATATATCATTCAGGCCACCCAGGCAACACACTGTCAATTGGCCAAAGCGCACCTTACCTTGGGCAGGGTCTTCTAATAAGTCCATTATGACGGAGTCAGCCCCTTTGGTGTAGAGGATTATCTCACCGGTGAGGGGATGCCTGACCACCACTGACATTCTTTTCCTGTTTGAGTCAAATCCCAAGGTGAACAAGAGGTCAAAGGTCAGGACAATCCCTTCTGGCAACCGGACAGTGGCTTGTTCAGAAGTCTTGGACACTAACATAAACCCATAAGCCAAGGCTGCATGGACAAGGGCTGCTTCATCGGGGCTTTCGGCCTGGTAACAACATTCTGGCTGCAAAGCATCTTGGTTAAGTGCCCCACAGGTCTCGGCTGCAGCAGGATCACAGTCCGCACTGGTGTCATTCCCACTGAGGGAGTCCCTTTGAAAAATATCCTCATCACTTAAGGTAGAACAGCTTTGGGTAGGAAAACCCTCTTTTGTTCCGGAACTGGCACAGACTTGGGTGCTTTCTGTGTTAAAACTGTCTGAGCTTGACAGAGCTGGGGAAAAAGATTGGCTGACGCTTGCCTGCTTTAGCCACTGGAACATCTGGTGAATTTTCTCCAGGGAGAATCCTGCCGGCTTCATCATTGATGGAGTGGTAACCTTGAGAGAAAAGAGTGAGTCAGGATTAATTATAGCTGAAATTACATGGGGGATTTTCAAATCAGTAGAGCATTGCTCTGCATCATGCAACGAACATTAAAAAGAAGTTTCTTTGAGGTGCTGCTCAATACATATTTTACATAACATCCGATCTATGACTTGGGCAAGGAAAGTCCTTGTCTGGGTAGCTAAGTGGTGATTTCTGAGACAACAGAGTATTATGACACTATTTTCTGGTTGGGGATTGTCCTCCAGGCATGGTTAGAAACAAACCATCTTGCCAATTTTTGCAGAGTCAGGCAGTGCTCACTGGACGTTCATCATGTTTTGAAGACCCTGCTGCAAGTTATTGAGATAACAAGGCTACTGAAGTATGGGCTTGCTTGGTGATGGGTGGGGAGAAGCCAAAGTGCTTAAGCTTCATCTTCCTTTGCTTAAGCAAAGGTAAATTTCAGAGTGCATATTCGTACTGTTCTGTAAATAAAGTGAACTGGAATGCATTTAAAAGCTGCCATTAACAGTTTAATCATTTAATCATGCCAATTAATCAATTTATGTTTGCAGCCATCATCAATATATATAAGGGGAAAGTACTGTATTTCATTTTCAGATTAGCATATTCCCTAGGGTCATGGGGGGAATTTGCTAGGTAGGGAGATGTGAAGGCAGACAGAGAGAATATTCAGTGGGATTATTGGTGGAGACATCCTCAGTGCAATATCCAAGCAGAATTTTAACTTACCTCCTTGAAAGCAGTCATCATAAAACTATCAAGTATTTTAAATTAGATTTACCACATTACAAAAAACTTACTTTCCTAAAAGGGAAGTAAAAGGAAGAGATTACCCTTTCTCTTGGATCAGTTGCTGTGGAGACCAAAACAGTGTTGCAGAGGGTCAGAGCAAGAAAAAAGTCTGTGAGGGAAGAGGTGGTCTTTGCAAGCATAAACGTTGTCAAAGATTCTAGCTGGCATGAAGCGTTTTTCACTTCCTTCAACAGCCTGTTGTCTGGGGTCACATCTTTCTCCTGGAATACATGTTATTCAGTAAAAAAATCCTTCACATGCTTAAGATTATGAAAATAACACTTTCTTTTTGGTGCTCTAGAGCTTTAAACAACATTGCATGAGTGCGTGCACTTAATTCTAGCAGCATAATGGCTAAAAACTATCAGGCATTAAAGCTACTGGGAAGTTATTTGTGGTACTGAACACATCTGACAGGTAGTCAGTTAATCTGCTGAAGAATCTCAGTTTTAACTTTACGCAAGAGGGCTGGGCAACTTTGGGAGATCCAAGGCCTTTTCCATGTAAGCCTACCACAAGGCACATCCAGGGGCACTACCCAGTCTGTGGCATGCCCCTGCCAAAAGGGTGGGATGGCTGGTTCGCCTGCAAAATTTGGTGGTGCGCTGCTTTGCAGCTCTCCAAAGTGCACCTGTCTTTAAATTTAGTTTGTTTGCAAGCTAAATGGAACCCTTTTGACATCCTATTGGCTATGGAGCACTCCAAGGTCCACGGATGCCATTAAAAAAAGAAGAAGAAGTCAGAGGGCAGTACAGGAGGCAGGGGCTGTGCTGGGGTGTGGGATAGTGAGGACTATAAATTGCCATTCCCTGTTTTATATCCGGCTAACCAATTCATCTGTCAAAGCCCTCAACCATTTGCTCAACATCAGATGCACTTAGACGAACAAATGATTTTGCTAGCTGCACGTCTGGCGATGAGCTTCCAGGGACCCCTCAGTCAAGATGGTTTTAAAGTGTCGGGGAAATGGGATCACAGATTCTGCTTCCTGGCACTGATTGCTGCTGCTCTTCCTCCTCCCTGCTCTGCATGCACACACAGCCTCTCTTTCTGAGCAGGGAGGAGGAGGAGGAGGAGAAGGAGGAGGTTCAGGATCAGGATCATCATCAGCAGCAGCCACAACCATCTGCCCAGGCACCTTGTCATCACTGTCAAATGCTAGTAGCAGTGAGTGGATTTTGTGAAATCTTTCCCGTCTGTGTTTAGTGGATAGTCAGACATCTTTCATTCCATTACCTGTTCATTGATGGAGCTGAATTTCTTTTGTAGAACTGTGTGAGAATATTGTTGCACTTGCATTAGACTCACAAGTGTAAACATGTGCAAGTTGTCCCCAAAAGTAAAAAGCACTGCAAGGCCAGAGAATCTGTGCAGCCTAGAAAACATCCTCATCAGTTGATGTGAATTGGGCTGGCTTTCCCAGGCCTCTGATCACATCATAAGGTACATAAATAGCATCTGTTGAGCATCTCTGTCTATAGCATAAACAATTGTGTATAATTGCATGTTTTGAGCTATAAATACTGTACTCTGCATACACTATTACCATATACACAATCATACATCATGTGTATAACTGTATATAGTGCATACTATCTACAGTATAATGTGTATAATGTATGCAAAATGTGTGCAGTGCATGTAATGTAATATGAAATACAATTCCAGACTGTCCAACCTAACTGGGTGTATGTGTGTGTACCCCCTTCTGACTTCTTCAAAAGGGAGTCTAGTAATTTAATGATTAGGTATATGGTGGGGGGAGCTATATAAGAGCAAGCTTTTCGCTCCAGAACTTGTCTGAGCGACGCAACTCTCCCTGTTTGCTGTAGTGCCTGCATCTTGCTTGATCCAGGTATGGCTTTGCTGTCTCACCTCAGCAATGTAGTTCTTTCCACTAGCTGTGGTGTGCTTCAGCTCTTTCACCTTGCCGGACCTTTGCTACAATTGGACCCTTGCCACATATCCTGCCTTGCTGCACTGCCTTAGCAATGCAGGTTTTCCTGCTAGCTGTGGTTCAGTTCCTGCATCTTGCCTGACCCTTGCTGTGTATCCTGTCCAGTTATTCTACCTTAGGGTACCTGAAGCTGTTCTTGTCCTCCTGGTTTTCAACCTTCGGCTTGTTCATGAGCATGTTCTTGTCCTGCCCTGATAGGAACTTCTGGTCCTTGGCATATTCTGTTCTGAACTTGCTTTTGGGCTTTGGACTTCATCTTCCTTTGAGTTCTGTTGCCCTGTCCTAGTGCTTCTGTCTTGTCTCCTGCAACCCAAGTCTTGGCCCCAATGCTGTTCATTTCAGAATAGGATATATAGCTTATCAGGTTTGTTGGCAATGGACTTAAAGAGGCAGGTATTTGAAGGAAATGCTGTGCTAACTGTTAGCTAGGAATCTCTCTATCTTCTCAGCAGTGCTATTTTTTTCCATTTTCATTCTACCTGAGGCTACTGCTTGTCATGCCTGGCACATAAACACCAGGAAATGTGGCATTTAGTAAGCAAAAGCCAACACATTGTACAACACTGGCCTTTGGGGCACATGCCTGGTGTTGATTAGCAGGAACTAAGGTTCTGTCAGACATTTGTATAAATAATGATGAACATTTGAATGGAGCCTAAATTATACATTCCTGTACAGGCTGTGAAATTATAAAAATAAATTATATGAAATGAAACTCATTATGCTTTACAGAATCGCATGTGGTAGTTCTTTATAATTAAAAACCAAACCAAACCCAGAACTCAATTTGAAGAGGAAGCTGGAAGCATGTTTCAGTGTAAAGTTTAAGCCTCTAACATGTGCACAATTGCAAAAAACTGAACATGGCTATCTCTCCAGTTGTATTGTTTTGCACCCCAGCTTCCTGCGGTGATAGAAAGTATCTTGCTCTAATGCAGGGGTGGGGAATCTTTTTCAGAATCTGTGGACCAAACTTAATTTTGGAGAAACTCCAGGGGTCACTGTCCAGAGGTGAGTGGGGTCAAAGGCCAAAAGAGGAGGAACTATAATACAACCTGCCCTTAAACAGTTCTGAGTGCCAGTAACTAAGCCAAGAACCCAGGAAGAAAGAGCTATTTCTTTGCACATGTTTGCATGGCACAGCAAGGCAACAGTGGCAAGATGAGGGAATGCAAGGCAGGATAACTTGTCTTGCACCTTGCATATTGTCAGGCCCAAGAGGGCTCTGCAGTGACAACACCCCATGAATATATAGCTATAGGATCTCAGAGTAGTTTTGGCTTAGGATCTCTGGCAGCTGCTGCGCAATCCTGTGTTGTGGCCTACTTCCTGCAGTAAATCATTGGTCATCAATTTCTGAAACCATAACCAGGAGAGAGAAAAGTAGACTTACTCACCACAGTGCTGCTAAAGGCCAGATGAGATGGAGAGTTTCCCCAAAGCCCCAGAGATGCATTTCTTTTGTGCCCCTGAAAACGAGCCTGTGCACTGTGGGACCTCCTCAAGGACTTAGCAGGGTCTCTCTGTGTCAGAGTAGCTGATTCTGTGCCTTTCTTTGGAGGAAGGCTTGGATATTTTGCCCAGTCTTCAGTATCTGAATCATGTTCCTTGTAGGTTTCCAGTCTTTTGGCTGGAAGACACAAAATAGAGACGCATGCTCTGTTGTCAGTATAAAAAGTGAACTGTCTCTCACAAACAGTTGCTCTTCATGCTGTCATAAACTTCAGGACTGAGCAACTTGTGGGCCTTCACTCCCCCCCCCCCCCAAACTCCCACCCACCCACCATTGCCTGTGCAGACTAGAGCTGGAGGTGCTGTAGGCAAGCAACACTCAGAGGGCCACAAGTCGCCCATCCTGATGGTGATGTTAACTCAGGACTGCACACTCCATGCACAGTGAGAGAGTGAAAACAGTGGGAACTAGTTTAGATCTCCGGACATGGGACCCTGACCTCCACATCGGCAGGAAGAAGACAAGCAGGATGCAGGATCAGCCCACAAACACACAATCCCCTGCATCATGCTTGTAGGACTGGACCTGGCCAACCCATTTGATGATACCCAGCTCTACCTCTCGTTTTCCACCAATCCAGGTGAGGCAGTGGCTGTACTGAACCGGTGCCTGGCTGAGGTAATGGGCTGGATGAAGGAGCGCTTACGTCCATATATGCCCAGCCACCCCCTGAGATCAGCGGGAGAGGCCCTCCTCCGGGAGCCCTCAGTGAAGGAAATTAGGAGGGTGGTTACTCGGAGGAGGGCTTTCTCAGCGGTGGCGCCTAAGTTATGGAATGCGCTCCCCAGAGAGGTCCGCCTGGCGCCGTCATTATTTGTGTTTCGGCGCCAGGCGAAGACCTTTTTATTTAAGCAGCATTTTAAATGTTAATACTATTGAATTTTATTTGGCCAGGGCGGCTTATTTTATTCTAATGTATATATTTCAATTGTTATTGTCTTAATTTATTGTTGTGAGCCGCCCCAAGGCTTCGGTGAATGGGGCGGCATAAAAATGTTTTAATAAATAAATAAATAAATAAATAAATAAATAAATAAATAAAAGTTGCCCATCTCCAGAAGGGAACTGACAACCCAGGCCGACAACCTAGACTTTCGTGGCCCTCTCTCTATCCAGTCTAGGCTGCCTGTGGAAAGAACGATGGCCCACCCAGTCCAACAGGCCCCCTCCTCCCATCCCCAGGTCATCTCCTGATCGGAACTGGTCTCCTGGTGCTGTGGTCAGCAGCCCAGCGGATCAGTTGGGCTGCAGGGAAAGGAGGTGCAACGCACATCAAGCTCCTGCAAGCTGCGGGGAGAGTAGTGGAAACTGTGTGGAACAGGGGAGAGGACAACTTGCTCCAATTCCCCCTTCCCCTGCCAGCACCTGGATGCCCCTGTGATTGCACAGTGCCTCCTGTGATTCCCAGAGGCTGCTTTTGTGCAGTAATGGAAATCGGGGTGAACAGAGTCACAAAGTGTTCAGGTTGCTGGAGGACACCTTTGCAGGTGGCTGTCTACACAAGACTGCCCAGGCTCTGTATCTTCGCACAAACAGAGGCACAGAGACTGTCTTCCATCTCCCACATGGGCTCTACCTGCTGCAGGATGTGTGTTGCCCATGGACTTTCTCCACATCTAGCACTCAGCATGGCACGGAAAGAGACAGAAAGATCCGATGTCTTCTGTCTTCCCTGGCATTTTTGCACATTCAGTCCAATTTAGTTTTATAGAGCCAGCATTACCATTTTCTTACCATTTTCTTGATGCGAAAATTCTTTCCCATTAATGGTGCACCGCCGAAACACCATCTTATTCTCTGTCAGTGTCCCTGTTTTGTCAGAGAATATGTACTGGATTTGTCCAAGGTCTTCAGTGATGTTTAGCGCACGGCACTGGATGGGCAAGTCCTGCTCTTCATTGTACAGATCGATATCATTGTGAATTAAGAAGACTTGACACAGCTTGACTAGTTCAATCGATACATAGAGGGCGATGGGGATCATAATCTGAAAGAGGACATTTTGCAGAAGGTTAGACATTTTGTGGCAGGATTACCTGTCTTCATACATCCAGCAGTTGTGGTGTCTGTTGCAGCAAGACGTCATGGAGGCTCTTCTGCACAACTAAGAACAGTTTGTTTAACAAAGAACAGTTTGTTTAACAACTAAGAACAGTTTGTTTAACAAAGTTATCTCCTTGTGGTGCACAGTGCTTGTATGAATTGTGATGTTCAAGCTTTGAAACTATGGATGCAAGCAAAGTAGACCCAAAGGGAAGAGTATTATTTGTGCTCTGACAACCAAACCAGGGACAACAGGGAGCAATATAGGGTGAACAGATTCGTATTACGGTCCAAGAGAAGCAAAAGAAACTCTTTGTGAAAAAAACATAGCAATGAATACTCACAAAGTGCAAGGCATTGCAAATGTATCACACCTGAGAGCGAGTATGGTATGGTAGTTGGGGCGGTAGACTGAAGACCTGGGAGATCTGGGTTCTAGTCCCCATTCAGCCATGAAAGCTCACTTTGGGCCAGTCATGGCTATTCAGCCTAGCCTACCTCACAGGATTGTTGTGAGGAAAAATGGAACTATATAGGCTATCGTGAGGTCCTGGAAGACGGTGATGATGGTGATGGTGATGATGATGATGGTAGCCCTCTTCATTGGCTCCCAATTGGTTTCCAGGCCCAATTCAAAGTTTTGGCTTGCGATGCCCTCCACAGCTTGGAAGCACAGTAGAAATATCTCCACCCACAGGTAACTCCCCAGACTTTGATATCATCACCTGAGACACTCCTCTGGGTGCTTCTTCTAGGCAATGTCCCCCTGGCCGTGGAATATCCCTCTGAGAAAACTCTGCTTTAGTCCCTGCCTCAGAGCACAATCCTCAACAAGTTAAGGCAGAAAATGGAGGGCCAGGAGAACATTAGCAGCGTGGAAGCAGTGATTCCAGGATCTACCGGGGAGGGGAGGCTGCTCTCACGCCGCTGTGTGTGCAGGCCTCCAGCCCCCAATACACCATGCACAGCACATGGCCCAGGGCCAAAAAAGGTGCCCATCCCTGTGCTTGCAGAACTGTGTCCTAGAAGTAGAGGCCTGAATTTCTGTGGGAGGTACATTGTGGATTCCAGCCTTTCCACGTATCGGTTGGCAAAAACAAAGTATGCGCTCCATACTTTTCCTTCCCTCCGTGATGCTTGCTGGACAAAATTGCATTTCTCTCATAAAGAAAGACTTCCCTTTGGATTGCTACAAACGACTCAGAATCAGTTGTTTCATTCATACTGATGAAATTTGTTTTGTTTACATGCTGGCAGCTACCACAATGTAACCGGAAAATAAATGTATTTTCCTATTTCATATGTGGGCTTCAGATGCCTCTTTTGGGATATATATCCATCCTAATTTGTCTTCATTTCCCAAACCAATGCTGACATTATGATGTGCTGTAAAAAAAACAAAGCAAATACAATCAAAATTGTTTTCTTGTCAGTTTTGTTGAAGTATAAATTAGGAGAAAAGAACAAAAGGAGGACAGGAGTTCTGTGCCTTTGCTTGTGGGTATAGAAGAAGGAATTTCTGAAGATGCAGCTTCTCCTGAAAAGCTGAGGAAGCTGAAAGCAGTTGCATCTGCTCAGTTCTCCTCTTTTCTGGTATACAACTGTTAAAGGCTCAGGGTTAGGGTTAAGGGTGAGGCCAAGCTCACCTTTCCATCTATCCTATCCAAGATATCAAGTATAATTTTATTTTGAAATAGTGAGCAGAGCAGTCTGAAAAGTCATGTTGTTCTGAACAGGGATACCCTAGGAATTCAGTTTTTGTGAATTCCTCTGCAAGTACTCCACTTTTACTGCTTTAAGTTGATGTTTCAAAACTTTACAGTCTCTCTGGTGACAACAATCTAATTCTCAACCTTTTTCCACAGTACTTGTGAGACTTACCAGACTTCCAAGTCTTCTGATTACAGGCTTGAGAGTCCTTGGACTCAGCTCATAAACTAATCTGGTGATAGCAGGCAGGTCTCTCATGAATAGTTAATTAAGAGAACAGAATTGACATTCTTTCTCCTGGTGGTGGAGAATAACTGAGTAAAGCTGAGTAATAGCAGAACTATTCCAAGGCTCTGACAGTTCTACTCCATTTTCATTCCAGTAGTGCGAAACAAATAACAACACAAGGTAACAGTTTAGCAGTAGTTTGTTTCAACAAGCAGATCTGTGACCAGTTTTTGCAATAAAACACAAGTACAGCTTGAATCTGCCCAACATAGCAATATTAATGAATTCTACCAGAAACTGTCTAAAAAAACTAACCTGATACCTACTTCCTAGACTAACATAACAACTGGAACACAGTGTTCTTTCAGACGTCATACTATTTCACACTATTATTGGTTCAAAAATAAAAGTCAAAGTGCATTTTAAATACACAGTTTGAGGTAAAATGAGTTCAGAAATTCATATTTGAAAAGAAATATTTTCAAAAATACCAATGTAAATGGCATTTTGTGCCATTCTTGCCATTCTTGCATTCTTGCATGCAAGAATCACAGCACTGATTCTTGCAACAATCTAATGATCTGGGCTAGCATTTTCTCTTCTCATGATTCAGAAGAATGGGTCGGGACTGAGAGAGGGTTGGAGAGTTGTGGTGTGTGCCCACAGCCATTTAAATAGTCCACGCAGGTGGAGGGTTGCCAAGGTTTACTGCATCATCTAAACCTGGACAGCAGAGATCTTGGGACAAGGGGAAGAACCCTTCAGTAACCCATGTTGCATGAGACTGGTCAGACGATGAGAGAGATATGCTTGCCAAAGGCCACCCAATAAGTCCATGGTTGAGATCCATATGAATTGGGGCTCACACCTGACACTCGTATCTACTGTGCTACATCATTGTCCAGTGTATGATTTACACCTAGATCTTTTCTGTATTTCTGTGTGTTTTAATTTTGAGCCAGTGGATACTCTTAAAGCTCTTTTCTCATTAACAATAAATATTTCCCACCTGTAGGAGGATTATCATTGTCAGGAACATGTAGAAACCCGCAAGACCTGGTGCAAGATAGGTGCCATTTTTTTCTGGGATAACGTACAAGGGGTATTCTAAAAGATTCGCATTCCAAATGCCATGACCTGCATAAAAATACAAGCGAGTTTAGAATAATAGAAAAACACCGGCTGGGCCAGGGAGATTCACCTATTGCTTTTTAAGAAGAGAAACTAAAATCACACACTGAAGTAAAATAGTAACATACCAGAAGTTCGCATTCTCTAATAGTTTAATGTAGCTGATTTTTGTTTGTTTTGTGGATCCTCTACTAGGCACCTTCCTGGCACTATTTGCTCTTGTAACTGAAACCTAACCGTTTGTTCCACTTCAAGCACAGAGATGTGTTGTTGACTCCTTAGCTATTTGTTTAGAAAACAATCCTATGGACCACAGGAGGTAAGGGGAGGCAAAGAATAATTCAGATTCCCAGATCTGAGATCAGGGTCAGGACTCTTCCTTGAAGAGGTTCAAGGGAATCAATATCAGAAACTGGATTTTGCATGAAATTAACAAAAGTTCTGTGTGAAACATGTGAAAGAGTGTTGCTTTCCTATGAATTGATGGAATGCTCCCTCAAAAAAGTTGATCGCCTCCTGCCCCTCATCAGCTATCTTGGCGTTTGGAAGGAGTGCAAAGACTCTTCTTAATTTAGACTTTCAGAATGCATAGTTGTTCTTGCTGCTGCTGCAGCTGCTTACAGTTTTAATGTTCTCCTTTTGAAAAGGAAGGCAAAAGCTTGCCTTCACCGTCAGGGCAAGGAACAGGAAAAATAAAGGGGCTCTTATGAATTCCTAATGGGATGGAGTTACACAGTTTGAATAAGCATTTAGTGCAAATCTGTTTGAAAAATGTGATCTCCCTCTCTTGAACTCTTTTCATTCTTTTTCTCTCTGGCAAATGAACACTCCCCTCACAAAACTCATCAAGTTGGAATTCTAGTTGGAGCCAAGAAACTCATTTTGACCTGAAGTACCAAAGTTTAAAAAATAATGAAATCTGAGCTGCTGTTCAGCTGAAGAGAATCCTTCCCTTCTGGGTTGTTCTTGCCAGGTTAATTTAATGGCTTAGTGCCATGTCGTGCCACATCCCTCCAGGGCACTCTCTACGAGGGAAAGGAAACTTATTATGAAACCTTTCAGTGCAGTGTTTTGCAACTCACTTGTGCATTGCCACTTAGAAACGTAGACACAGTTACAGGGCCCTTTACATTCTCCACCCAATAGTTCTTCGTAGAATACTCAGTAGGCTTGTTTTCATCAGAGCAGGCCAGGCCTGCAAGTTGTGCCCCAAATCAGTGCAATGGTGGGGAAGCAGTCCTTTCCCCTGCTGCTTACCGAAAGGGATTGCTTCTCACAGCAGCAATCTAGGGTGCCCCACAACAACCATGTGTTACTGAAATTTGGGGCCAGATCCAAATCTCTGTTTATGCTGGGTGCTCTTTTAGCTCAATGATTTTCAAGCTGTTCCTTGGAAGAGCATCATGGGCTCCTTCAGAAAAAGTTTTGTCATGGTGGAACGACTTACCTGCAAGGCCTTTTGTTTTGCATTATTACGCTTCCCTGCAATTTGCAGAAGGGAGTGCGGCTGCACTGCAGGGTACATTCTCACTACACGCTGGCTGGGATAACAGAGAGGCCCAACAGGCTGACCCAGGGCCCGATATGGAGTGAGTGCACACCCTTGCATAGAATATGCCCCAGAATCCTTTGCAAGGCACAGCAGTCCCATGGCAGACATGTCAAGTTGGACAGGCCAGTTTTGAAAGTCGGAATACCGATTTTATTAAGTCACCTTATTAAAGGGCTGGTCAGCTCTTTGGAATCAGGGAGTCAACCCCATTTGGATGAAAGATCTCTTACAGGTATCCAAAGTGGTACCTTAGGGGTGTCAAAGGACATAGGCATGTACCATGAGATTAAAAAATCCCTCCTTTCAACAGCAAATACTCCCATGCCATAGCAAAAACTGCTTTGGAAAATCCCTCAATTTCAAAGATGAAATCTGTGGGCCAAAGGAGACTTTTGCACTGCTTTTGAAAACGAAAGAGAGATTTGTCATATGGCTTATGGGTCAGCTATTCAAAGGAAAAAGCTGCAGAAAACATGGGTGGCAAAGCTGCCTCCCCTTTTGAAGCCTCTTCCAACTTAAAAAAAGGCCTGTAGGCCGTTGAGATGCGCCATGAGGGTCATATTTATATTTAAATACCACCACCGCTGCCGCTGCCATACAAGTCAATTAAAGTACGCTGCTCTGGAAAATGCAGCTTGAACACAGAAGAAGCTTGTTACCGTTATCGCATACCTAGGGCTCCGACGAAACACATAATGAATAGCAGTCCCACAGAAAATAATACATCCACATTCATCCGCTGCTCTATTCTGCTGCGTTTATAGCGAGGACCTCTGTTATTTAGCATGGCTTTGGTTTCATGACCTTCCAGACACACACAAAAGGAACAAACATTCATATGCACCACTTGGTTTCCCTATATTCACTATGTCATCACATATTTCACAGTAGCTTTAGGAAGACAGCTCTGCTAGGGAACATCTCTACAATCATTACACTTTGCTCAAACACATTCTGGCAAAACGGCATAGAAGTTTGCCATAAGGCAAGCCAAGAAAGAATTTTAGGAGCTGAATTGCTAATGATACAAACAAATCACTGTCCTTATTTTTAAATACATCTGGTGCAGGAAACCAATCAGAGTGATAGGAAGATTATTTTGTTGGCAGGGGTGAAAAAGGAGCGTGGAAAGAAGACCAGCACATTGCAGAGGAGGTGAGTGAAAATGCAAACACGCACAACTGAAATAGGGCAATCCCAAGTGGAGGCCGCCAGAGCCCCTTCAGGTTTGCCTAGACTAAAACTGGGACTTGAACACTGCCTCCTCAAATTTTCGAACCTGCGGGTCAAATTTGCCTAAGAGGAGACAATGCTATCCTTTCAGGCTTTAATATCTAATGGGATCTTAATGTCTGCCCGGATTCGTTCCCCATTGCCTTTCCTCTCTTACTTCGACTGCTGTTTGTGATGCTTCTGTTTTGATCCCTAAAGTCTGCAGAAGGGCTGTTTGGCAGGGTCTGGACATGTGCGTCTTCTGCATAAGGCCCTCTGTTTGGTTGCTGCCACCGGCACGTAGCACTAGGAAAGGCTCCTGCCTGGGTATCCAGAGAGCCACTGCCGGTCTCTTTGGACAGCACTGAGCTGGAAGGGCCCAGTGGTCTGACTTGGTGCCTGTGTTTCTTACGCTATTGCTGTTTGCAAACCTGTTCTGTAATCTCCTCTTTGAAATTAATAATTACATAGATTGGGATTTTAGGTGGAAACACATTTCTTCCATGAGCGCCCGGACAGAACTTCATAGAAAGTATGAGCAATATGGAGAAATGTAGCAGGGAGGGACAGACACACACTGCCTTTAAATGAGAAGGAAAGGGTAGGCTGTCATTTGCACTCAGTGGCCCTGCTTCGGTTTTGACTTTAGTTCAGCTCTCACTGTAGAACGCCTGCCTGAAATGAAATGTAGCTTTGGTGTTTTGTTCTGCTCCTTCTTGACAGCTTGTTAGTTTTATTTAGCTCCATTGTCACAAGATGCAATACAAAAGGACTGGACAAACCTATGAAGAATAGCTATTATTATTAGATGGAGTCATTAAGAGGAGGAGATCTTTCATTAGGCCAACTTGGGCACACACCACAAAAGGGCACGGCCTGTGCGCAGCCCATCCGGCTGGCCACGGTGGGAGTCCGAGAGCTCGACTTGATGGATTCCTGAGCTGATCCGAGAAGTGAACTCTCATGGGCTGTGGCTGTACAAAGACGCTAGCCAAGCGTGTTTCCTGACACTGTGGCCCTTGCGGGAGGTCACAGAGAGCTCCTCTGCTTGAGTCGCCCAGGCATTCAGATCGCAGGCCGATTCTCCGAGTGAAGTGCTGGAACGGAGTGGTAAGTTTGTGAGTCCAGCTGTAACCAGTGTCACAGCTGTCTGAGAAAGCCCTTTCATTTTGAGCCACTCTCACACGATGCACCTGACCCCGCAAAGACAAGGGGCTCATTTCAACATCTGAAAACAGTGGCACCGTATGCCTTATGCACCATGAATGCTTACTTGAGTCAGAAAAGACAAGAGTCCTTAATTGTGTTAGAATCTAATTAGATGGCTGACTGGTTTTTAAGTACTTTTGACTATTTCACAGCAGCCCAATTGACTTAATGAGAATCTGCTAGTGCACTTTCTGCGTTAACATAAAGAAAGCCCAATATGTCAGACCCAGCCGCAACTAATTTTAATGTTATTTAGGTCTTCTTGAAGGAACTCTGAAGTACCAAGAAAACAGCAGGCCAAAAAGGAAATGCAAACTAAATTGGAAATAAAATTGCTACATTTACAGAGGAGGGGTGTTTGAAGTTCTAACCATGGGACATGAAAGGGAAACCAGGCTCTCTCTTGTACTCCTCACTGTGATCTTGGAGCTTTTTGCTTTTCTCTTATTAGGAGCATGGTCACTGCGGTGCTCTGTGGCCATAGATCAAGTGACAGTCCCAGCTTCAAAGATCTAAGAAGCAAGAAGGATTTATCAGGAAGGAATATTCCTAAAATGTTCCTTTAGGTCCCCCCCTCAGTGCTCCTACCAGAACAATCCTGAAGTCAAGAACTGTTGTTCAAATAGTAGGAGGTCAATTCTGAATGTTCTCTCTTTGGAGTGACAGTTTTGATCATGATCCTTTCTTGTGCAATGCTGAGAGCTTGCCACTTTGAGACACACTTTCGTCTCATTCCCAAGAAGGTGTACTCAGGTTTACGCTCACTGATTTCATCGATACTTGTGAATGGCATTCAAACCTTATTGTCAAACAGAAGGCGTAGTAGGAAAGTGTGATAAACCATCCAGCCCCTGTTATTGTAAAGCTTCTTCTTTTTTAAAAATAGTACATTCATGTAAGTAGCTTCTCCAGGCAGTGCCATCTGGTGCCCACGCTGGAGTCCTAAGGGGAACAGGCCATGTCCACCTTTGTGCCTGATCATTTTTAATTACATGCTCTTTCAATATTTATTGAATATATTTTTATATCGTTCTGAAGTAAAGAAAATCCAGTGGTGATTTTCATTGGAAGAAAATATAAAATCAATGCACAAGGAAGATAAAATCCATGGGCATTTAAGGGCACCATCCAGTTGTGTGGATGTGAACCCGGAGGCCTGTGGATGCTGCTTGCTGAGTGCGGGGGCGGTGGAGGCACTGCCCTCCGCCTTGGTCCTCCTGCTATGCAGTTTTGCTAGATGGCTGTTTTTGGCCATCCAGCTGGGATGCTTTGGAAGAGGAGGGAAGGAGGCTGCAGAGGACACAGAATGCAGTGTGCCCTGGCCTCTGCCATCTCCTTCCTTCCACCCACTGGACCACTATATTCTCCCTAGGGTTGAATTTCCAACCTTGGAAAGGCAGCAAGGACGGTTCTTTCCATACCGGCTGCATGCCAGGGAGAGGGGGCTCTGCTTCTGCTTCTGGGAATTGGAAGTAGGTGCTGTCTTTGGAGCCATGGGATCCCTCCCACCATGTACTAATGGGTATGACCATTTCTGGTTTGCAGGATGTCTGGCAATGTTACTGATGTACATTCTTATTTCCATAAACTATGGGCACAATTACTCGGTTGCTTGTTACATATAGCATGCCAGGCAGTAAAATATTTACTGTGTTACTGTGCAATAACTATGCTGTTGCATTTAATGCTTTTAAGGATTTTTGTGTCACGAGCATTGGCTGATGGGCAGTGTAGAAATGTAAGAAACCCACCTACAAATAATCGGAGCTTCTTAAAGCAATATATGACTAATCAAAGCACAGTGGGGTCATTCCAGTATTGCAAGAAACTAAAATGTCATACTATGGTAAGTCAGGTCTTGAGTTCTTTAGAACTCTTTTTCCATCTGGAAAGCAAAGACTATAGCAATGAGGCGTAGTGGGTAGGGAGAAAAGAAAAGCACAGCATAGCGAAAGACTCTCCCAAATCTAAAGTTCATAACGATCTTAACTTAGAAAGAAGGCTTAATTTGAGAATCTAGTGGGTTCAAAATATATGTCTGTTCTTGATTACATGCTACTCAGGTTGCACTGCTGGAGCAAAGAAAAAGGTTGCAAATCTAGCCTGAATAGACTTAAAAACATCAGTGACTGCAGGAAAAGCTAAAAAATCAGCCCAACATCATTACCGGCATAGATAACAATCCCTATGGCAACCTCTGTGTTTCTCACTGTGCATCCACGAAGAAGAAGGTTTTCCTTGTCAAAACCAACCCGTGTGAAGTCAGGCTGCTCCCTAGAAAGAAGAACAGGTTTTTGAAAATCTTGTCCTCCTATTCCTATAGATCATGCTTCTAAGGCCATGTCCATGGGGCGGATTAAGGGTCCGACTTCTCACAGGTGCCAAAGTGTTGCATGACTGTCACTTCACAGCAGAGCCAGAAGGCAGAGAATCTACATGACAGAGGCGGGCACAGAGGTCCTCTGATGTCCCCTGGCCAGGGTCCACACTGGAGTTAACCAAACGGTGCTTCTACCAGGCATGACATCTTCTTTTTCTTCCCTTCCCTTCCCTTCCCAGCATATTAAAATGGAAAAAGTCACCTCCTGCGTCCTGCTGTATCAGCAGTGTAGCCCTAGAATAGGTTTGCCTGAGACATTTTATCATAAGCAGGGAGGCGACTCTTTGCCTTCGCATAGAAATTGTGCCCACGTGGTAATGTGCACAGAGCTACCCATCAGGCTGTTCATGCTTAATGCTCAGAAATTGTTTTTCTACCATCTGCCTTCTGTTTGACAATAGCTCCCAACTAAGTGCTGCTTTTCTATAACCCGGCTTTCAAACTAGCTAATTTTCCAAGCTGCAAATGTATTTATTATAGATTTCTTCTACTATGTGTCTGCATCTAATCTACAAGGAGGGAAATTATCAGACCTTGCTTTCAATAGCTGTATTGAACTGAAGGAATGTCGGGGTGTTTGTCAACCTTTTGTGAGAAATTGAAACCTAAAGGCCACAAAACAATGTCCAGTTTAGCACAGGTGATAGGATGGCCAGGTGTCCTTTACAGAGCATGGTCCTGTTTTGACGAGTAGGTAGAGAAATGCCCTCTGTTCATTAATCTGAAAGGCAATCCCATTGAAGATCACTTTAGGGTGCAACCCAAGGGTCCCATCAATGCACAGAGAGTTCTGGTGCTCTTCACTGCCTCCATACCTCACATCCAGCATTTCATCTAGATGGTAATTTTCTGCTGTCTATATGAGGTGCCAAAGACGGAGAGGGAGAGAAGCTGGAGACCCCCTGGATGCAGTGAGCACTGTTGGCCAGCCTTCTCCTCTCCCTGCCCCATGGCATGCCCATTTTTCTCTCTCCAAGGCCAGTTGGTGACCTCAGAGTGGCAGTCGGTGTAACTTTCTATGATGGCTGTGATGGGGTGGGGGCTCAGCTTTCCGGATCTCAGCACAGAGGTTGCAGGATCTCCAAACTGGGACTCTGAATAATGCTATCGCACACAGATAGTTCTGGGAGCCACAGAAAAAAGAACTATGAGAGAGGAAAGGCCTTGAATCTGTCCATCCACAGTTAGCATCTGGCAGCAGGATGCACAGGCTGGGGGCATAACAGATCCAACCCTGCAAAAATGCGAATGATTTGCTGCCGGTTGTTCCATTTCCCATCTTGGAAGTCCTGCTTTGAATGTAGCATCAGAATCAGAGAATGTGCAGCTTGCATGAATGGAAACCTTCCCATCTGCGGCAGAAGGGCCTATGGCCTTGTGTTCTTTGCGTATGCAAATACAAGACCTCCCTACAATGACAACTGCACAAAATCTTAATCCATATTTAAGTGATGGCAATTTCCTCACATTTAATTATAAGCTTTATGAGAAACCTTTTCCACCAGTGCTATATTTATCTATAATTATATAGATATATTTCAATAAATATATCAATAAATATATGGTTTATTTAATAGATTAAATTAACCACATTTAAATGAATATTTCTAAGCGGTTTACAACGAGATTTAAATACATTAAAACATGGTGAGAAACAGAGTACAAACTGGGCCGTGCTCTTGCTCAGGGAAGGCCTAGGCGAAGAGATGGATGCTTAAGTGGTGCCTCAACTGTGCAACAGTTGGCACCTCCTAAACACCCGTGGGGAGATCATTCCATATAGGATGCTGCAAAACAGCAATTTGTGGGTCGAGGTCCAAGGAGCAAGTCCTCCTCTGATGATATGAATCACGCAGGTCCATAGAGAGGAAGGTAACCTGGTCATAAGCTGAACAGGGCTTATATGCCAAAAGCCCCGTGTGGTATTTGGCTCAGTGGCTGATACACAGCTAGTGTGATTGCTGCAATATTGGCATAAAATGCACATGGCCAGATGCCCTCCTTCTCATCCTGGATACCACCTTCTGCACCAGCTGAAGCTTCTGGACCACGCTAGAGGCCAAAAGAATATTATTAACAAATACTTTTATTGCAAGCTCTGCTTAGGCCTTTTTCTAAACATGGGCGAACTAAGAGTATATTGGCCCATATTACGAGTGGGGGATGCTCTCTAGACATTTGCACGTTTGGTATGGAGGTCGGAATAGGGCTTCTGGAGCCATGCTGGTGCAGAATCTCGGAAACCTGATGTAGCAGGGTTTCTGAACTTGTGGGGGTTTCTAAGCGCATTCATTTAAGAAATCCACTTTAGATTTTTGTGGCCAATGGACAGAGGTCTAAAGAGGAACTCTGGTGTGCTGAGCCATTGGGGGCAAGGCTAGGAATGGCTTACCCTCCCTCATTATTCCTGAGCAAGGCTATAGTGATATCGAGAATGGAAAAAGCACATTTGGACACTTCCTCAAAGGATGTATGACTGCATGTGATAAAGATATCAGCTGAAGAATAATATAAACAAACACTTACATATATCCTTTGAATCTATTCAGATCTTTGTTGGGTTTTTCACAAATGATGACATTTTGGAAAAGTTCTGGCTTAAATACAGTATTCTGCAAAATCAAATGAAAATGCAGGGAGTTTGGAGTCCAACTGAAAGTATTTTATAGTCAGTTAAAAAAATCTGAGCGGGCCATTCTACAGTCTTCTCACCAGCTAGGAGTGAAATTCTGGGAACACAGATTTGTTGCACGGAATGGATCAAAAGGTGACCTTGGCCAAGCATGTCTTGTGAGGCAGCAATAACTTGGTCAAGCCAACCTGTTAACCAATACCATGGAGCAAATACTTGCTTAACATACAGACCCACTGAAGCCAATGGAATCCAAGTTCATTAGTGGGATATCAACTGAAGTCCAATTGATGTCAATGGGCCTACTGTAAGGATGACTATGTTTACAACTCTTGTTTTATTTTGATTGGTTTGTTTTCTTTTTGGTGTACGATAAATAATTTTTAAGGTTTCTCACCATGAAGTGTTGCAAAAGATAACACCAAATGTCCACGTGGGTGTATACACTTCTATTTTGGTAAAGAATGGAACAAAATGAAAATACTGGAATCTGGAAAAGAAGAATGCATTTTGCCTCTCTTCCAGCTCTGTTTTAGCTGACTAGTTTGTTATCAGATAGCATCTATACATTTACACTGCAATTCTATACATGTTTACTCCCATGTACTCCCACTGAGTAAATAGGATTTACTTCCAAATAGACAGGTATAGGAATGCCCTACTAGCTTGCTTAATGGAGTGTTTCACTAGCTCTGTCATGATTTTAACTCCTCAACTCTGAGATAAGGAAGGAATTTACAGAGTTCCACCTCCAGGTTATGTCTGGAAGGAAGCTGTGCAAAAATTCAGTGTTCATCTGCCTTTGTATATTCAGGTCATCACAAGTCTAAGATATTTATTATTTTCCTCCCAGGAAAAGATTTCTTGCACCTTTGTTGGGGGTAATGTCAGATGGGATGTGCCACCTGCCTGGGCCTGGGTAAGTGGGGAGTGGGACAGGTTTGCCAAGCATCTGGCGAGCCACACCACAAAATGGGTGACCACTGGCAACCTGCAACCCTAGATTAAGAGCCACACTCATTCCTGCACTTGATTAGCTTAAAGGCTGGAGGCTGATTTGACACACCATCATGCACCTTTTCCAACATCATACTGCTGTCGCCCATGATCTTGCCCCGAGCATTGCTGCTGTGGGAATGGGATCAGGTAAGCCAATCCAAGCTGGATTTACAGACAGGTTTGATGCAGGATATACGCCTCTGTTTCTTTGCATGTCTTGGGCCCCAGGGGAAGCGCAGCGCCAAGAGGAACTGTTGCTGAAGCAGCTTCTAGGCGTACCTGATTAGCGAAGCCTTTCACAACATGCCTTTGCTTAAGATTGGTCTCGCCATCCAGGTTGGCTGTCTCTAAACGACAGACCCCGTTCTGATCCGAGGAGTAGAGCAGCAGGATGTCGGCAGGGATGATCTCGTTACACTGCAGCTGCACAAAGTCCCCCACCTGCACATCTTTCCAGCGCTTCTCAATGTAGCTGTTTTTGCTCCTGTTGTGAGAAAAAGCACACAGTCCATCCTTTCCCTTCAGAGCACCAAACTGTCTGGCTGCAGTGGTTGAAGCAGAATCGTTTCTTCATGGATCTCACACACACACATTCTGCCCCTCTGCCACAGATCAGAAGGAGACACACCTGTCCTTTGTTTCATGCATCTGTCCAGAATGAGTCTTTATATGCACCTCTGTAATTCCAAGAATTTAGGGGGAAAAGTTCAAGCTTAATTCAAAACAACCACAGCAATAGTATTAGAACACCTGGCAGGATTGCATTCGCAATACAAGAGATTAATAAAACAGCTGCTTAAGTGCCTAAGTGTTACTGTTCACTAAAAGCCTCTGCATATTAAACAAATCTATGTTAAACTCAATATACTAGGTGGCAGGTGAGTAGCCCTGAAGAGGCAGCTCCTGAGTAGGGTCCTAGCACTGAAGGGAGTCACTGGAACAGTTCAAGCTTAAAGACTTTGCAAAGTGTTTTTTGCTAGAGTACCAGATTGGAATTAAACTGCACTTCCTATTTTGTACCTATTCTTTCCCTACTGTGTTTTTGTTTTCTTTAAACTTCCTTTCTGTATTTCTAAGTCTATTCACAAGCTCTGTGCCACTAGGCACAGTCCTCCTCCTGAGTAAATACGCTGCTCCAGAGGTCCTTTTCACAAAGCTTATTGTTACCCAGCTCTATTGTTGCACACCCAGAGTGAAGTGTTGAGCCCTCTCTAACACCCCGCAACCCCAACCCCCCATTCCTCTTACACCCCTTTTCTCCTGTGCTGCCCCACAGGCAGGTGCAGTGAAATCTTGCCTGCAAGCACTCGTCTCATTTCTTCATCCATTGAATCTCCCACCTATGTTGTCTCAGCAGGAGGGACCTCGATATTGGACAGACCACTCAACTCTTGCTGCGAAGCCTGCTCAGTTCCCAGCTCATTATCTCATTGGTAGACTGGGCTCTCATCAGCCATGACTGTCAGCTCCACCTCCAGCTGTGCCATCTCCCCATTCCCATGGATGAGTTGACCATCACCTCCACCCTCCTGGAATAACAACTCCCTTTCTTGCCCCTCACATGTTCCTTGACCTTGGCTTGATACTGGAGCTGGCTGGCATTCCATAGCCCCTCCATTTTCACTGCCTCAGCTCAGATGCCCATTGAAGCTATAAACTTGTTGCATGCATTCTGGCATCTTTTCCCTGTGCTTGGAGACAACACACTGTTCCTAAGCTGCGAATTTATGAAGGAAATAGATTAAAGTTAGTGATGGGGGACACTGCTGCAGCTATGCCTCTCATGTCCACTGAAAAAGGGCAGATTGCGCAGAATCAATATTTTCATCAAGAACATGAATGGCGAACAAAGTATTCATTTATTGGGGAAACAAACATATGAGGAGGGATTGTAAACACTTTAAAAGATAGGATTAGAGCCTCAAATGACCGTGATAAATGGGGAAGTTAGCCTACAATCAATACAGAGAAAACAAATGTAAAGTACTGCACTGAAGGAAGAAAAATGTCTCCTTCGACTCTTTTCAGCACGCTTGAGTCTTGTGTTGAATAAGAATAGCAACAAATCTCATTACACTCTCAGAGATGGAGTAGTGCACCTTGGTTGAGACAGATTTTTCATTCTGCTTTGGATGATACATTTTTATAAGGAACGCTGTAATTGCTAGTTGGGGATGAGAGGCTTCACTGAACTTCTCCCAGGAACTCTTCCCATGTGTGGCCAAGGACTACTTTAACACATGCAGCTCCGGGCAACTTTTCCCCATTAACAGGAGGTGGGCAACTGTGGGAGGTTTGGGGTAGACCTTTTTGGGGAGGGGTATACATTTAAAATTTGGGACTGATGCAGGGGAGTACAGGATGGATGGGGGCATTGCTCACCTCTAGCATATGAGCTGCTCTCTAATAGACGATTGCACAAGTCAGCAGCAGCGAGTGTGGTATGAACACTGGAGAGTGCCTGGACATGCTTGCCATTGAACCAGGTTTGGACTGGGCATCTCTTCAAATTGGGAATAGTTTCCAGTAGAGGGCCGCCCTCTGCAACTCTCCAAAACAGAGCACTGCCCTCTGTAAAAATTGGCCACTCGGCTACACTAGGGGAATCTGAAAGGGAGAACTATACTGCAGGGGGCCCTGCGAGAGAGAACTTGTTTCCAGCTCACTTCATTTCCCCTTGTCCCCGCAAGATCCACTGGATGGACCAGCTATTCTTACTTGTTAGGTCACCCAGAGGAGCTGGCACAGGAGGCTGAACTTATGGGGGTTCCTTTGGGTTTCCTCTTGCTGGGGGAAGGGGATTTCCTGCTTAGTCTGCTGCCAGTTTCTCCCGGCTGACTGAGAAACAAGGTGGAATGGCAGGGCAAGGAAAGCTGCTTTATACTTTGGGTCCACAACGCTGGCACAGACAAGTGCGCTGTGTGTCCGCCTTGCTGTTCTTCCTTCCTGTGTACTCAGAGCAGAGTCAAGTGCTCAGAAGGCCTTGGATGTGCTGGAAGCATTTTAGCCCCCGAGTGAACTGAGGGGGAATGGAAATCCTGCATGCACAGGCACATCCAGGCATTCTGTGTCTGCAGAGAATCCGCCGTGGTGAGGGAGAATGTTCTTCGACCCACTTTGCACAAAACATTGGAGGGAGAGGGTGTGGTGCAGTCAGTGATTAAAGAGGCACCTGTCTGGGGAATGGGACATTATTTCCCCCTGAAGTGTTACCAGGAAAAGTAGAGTCTGTCACTCTGAGAAATGAAACAGCTATACAGTATTAGTTCATTGCCTGGAGTAATTTAAACACAGCAACATGTCTTTTACTCTCATTATGTAAAAGATCCATTTCCTTTAGGACTGAGGTTTGGTTAACCCCTGCTCAGTGTAGGTCCCAGCAGGAAATAAGTAAGGGAACAGGGCACATTTCCTAGAAGCCGCTCACCTTGGGTAGATTCACCTCAGACTTGGTGGGGACTGGTGCAGGAATTAACTCCAAGCATTGGGGAGCAAATCAGAACTGGCCGCCATGTTGTACATGCATGCAGCGAAGCCAGTGTTTCAGGGTAAACAAGAGAAGAGGTTTACTTCGAATTAGAGCTTACTGTGAATTAAATTGACAGGGTGCCTGCACCATATCCTTTGACTGAAGCTTGAGGAAAGGCTGGTTTGGCATCAGTTTGGCATAAGATGCCTTGGTGCAAGGGGACTCCAACTATTTAGGGAAAAATCCCATGCTTGTTTAGACAGAAAAAAATGTCCTACAGTTCCTTGCATACTCCAATCACGCTAGCTGTGAAATGATAGGGGTTTTAGGACTTTGTTTCTGCCTAAACACGCATAGCACTCTGCCTCGAATCCTGTACCTCTGAACTCGTAGTATTCTTGTGCCAAGGTTCAACAATATGCAAACACCTGACTCTGTAAAGCAGAGTAGGTCATAGAAATTTTTGTTGTATGCATGCTGGGAGGACTGTGACGGAAGGTGCACAGGTAAGAAAGAGGCACCTGTTGTAAAGGACTGTGCCTAGAAAAGATTGTATTACTGTTGAAGGCTTTCAACAACTCCACCCTGCTTTTGCCATATGTTGCCCATTTTAACTAGAATCAAATTTCATTTTTTTGTCACAGTTTTGGTGCTGCTCTCCCTGTGATTCTTTATGGGCAGTCCCCAGTTTGGAAGCATTAACAGAAAGGAAGCTAGCAAGCAATAAAATTTATGAGGGTGAGGCTATCATTCAGAGTCCAACAAAGGTGCAAATCATATGCATATTTGGGCAGAGAAAATCCTACAATCCTCAACCAGGCAGCCTTTTGTTCTTTAAACTTGCACAGGTTTGCACTGCATGCTACACTTTGCTAGTTTGGTCTCAACACAGGTCCCCACCATCATGGCATTTAGTAAACTGAATCCATCATTTGTGATTGTCCATTAGAAACAAAGCCCTCAACCTCAAAGGAAGCGCAAATGCTTCTTAGGTCCCAATCATCTAAAAGAGCCATCAGATGTCATTAAGTGCTTATTCCTAACTAATGATTTGATATTTAAGAAATGCCCTTCCCATATAAATCAAACTATTTTGTGGATTTTCTGGATTTAAAATGGCTTTTTGTAATGTCAGTGGGGATCAGATTTACAACAAATTGCATTGCGAAAGTGTAGATGTTACGACACTACTTCTGTTACAGCACTGTGCAAAAGCCTCTTCAGCTAAGGTTGCATTAAGGATGTACAGGGTTTGCATTGATCCATTTTTGATTGCTGGAGAAACCAGACAAGATTTGCTGCTTGTTTACCTTAAGTTTATTGTGTGTGTGTGTGTGAGAGAGAGAGAGAGAGAGAGAGAAAACACACCCATAAAAGATGGCTGATAAAGTTTATTTTAAGGTTCCTAAAATTGTAAGCCAATGTGATATAGTGGTTAAGGGTACAGGACTGGGACTCAGGCAATCTGGCTTCTAATCTCCGCTCAGCCATGGAGCCAACTGGGTGACTTTGAGCCAGTCATGGATAATTAGCCCAACCTGCCTCATGGGGTGGTGGTTATGCATTTGAGAGGAGGAGAAGAATTATGCAAGCTGCCCTGAGTTCCATGGAAGGAAAAGAGGCAGGATATAAATATAGTAAATACATAAATAAAAACCTCAAGTAAGTTAGCAATTCTTGTGTATTCACAGTATGGGCAGTGCAGAGGGACATTAGAAGAGTTCCTATTAACAATTATGGGTGGAACCTCCCACAATAAGTTACAAATGTATATCCATCCTCTAATACCATCTTTCACAACCTTGTGCCTTCTAGATGTTTTGTACACCTACTCCTAGGAATCTGACTACTGGGGCTGATGGAGGCTGCAGTCCAAAACATCCAGAGGGCTTCAGGTTGTAGAAGGCTTCTGTTCAAGCTGCTAGTTCATCTGCTACAGAATATTATAATAATATTATATTATTTGATTATTTTTCTTTGGTATATTGTAAGTGATTAAGGACTCAGTCAAGCCC